CAACTGCAGCGCCACCGTGTGGCCACCACGTGATACAACTGGCGCCCCGTGTGGCCACCACGTGATACAACTGCAGCGCCCCGTGTGGCCACCACGTGATACAACTGCAGCGCCACGTGTGGCCACCACGTGATACAACTGCAGCGCCACCGTGTGGCCACCACGTGATACAACTGCAGCGCCACCGTGTGGCCAACGTGATACAACTGCAGCGCCACCGTGTGGCCACCACGTGATACAACTGCAGCGCCCCCGTGTGGCCACCACGTGATACAACTCCAGCGCCACCGTGTGGCCACCACGTGATACAACTGCAGCGCCACCGTGTGGCCACCACGTAATTCAACTGCAGCGCCACCGTGTGGCCACCACGTGATACAACTGCAGCGCCACCGTGTGGCGACCACGTGATACAACTTCAGCGCCCCCGTGTGGCCACCACGTGATACAAACTGCAGCGCCCCCGTGTGGCCACCACGTGATACAACTGCAGCGCCACCGTGGCCACCACGTGATACAACTGCAGCACCACCGTGTGGCCACCACGTGGCCACCACGTGATACAACTGCAGCGCCACCGTGTGGCCACCACGTGATACAACTGCAGCACCACCGTGTGGCCACCACATGGCCACCACGTGAAACAACTGCAGCGCCCCCGTGTGGCCACCACGTGATACAACTGCAGCGCCCCCGTGTGGCCACCACGTGATACAACTGCAGCGCCACCGTGTGGCCACCACGTGATACAACTCCAGCGCCCCCGTGTGGCCACCACGTGATACAACTCCAGCGCCACCGTGTGGCCACCACGTGATACAACTGAAGCGCCACCGTGTGGCCACCACGTATACAACTGCAGCGCCCCGTGTGGCCACCACGTGATACAACTGCAGCGCCACCGTGTGGCCACCACGTGATACAACTGCAGCGCCCCCGTGTGGCCACCACGTGATACAACTCAGCGCCCCCGTGTGGCCACCACGTGATACAACTGCAGCGCCACCGTGTGGCCACCACGTGATACAACTGCAGCGCCCCCGTGTGGCCACCACGTGATACAACTGCAGCGCCCCGTGTGGTCACCACGTGATACAACTCAGCGCCACCGTGTGGCCACCACGGTACAACTGCAGCGCCCCCGTGTGGCCACCACGTGATACAACTGCAGCGCCCCCGTGTGGCCACCACGTGATACAACTGCAGCGCCACCGTGTGGCCACCACGTGACAACTGCAGCGCCCCGTGTGGCCACCACGTGATACAACTGCAGCGCCGTGTGGCCACCACGTGATACAACTGCAGCCGCCCCCGTTTGGCCACCACGTGATACAGCTGCAGCGCCACCTTGTGGCCACCACGTGATACAAGCTGCAGCGCCACCGTGTGGCCACCACGTGATACAACTGCAGCGCCCCCGTGTGGCCACCACGTGATAAACTGCAGCGCCACCGTGTGGCACCACGTGATACACCTGCAGCGCCACCGTGTGGCCACCACATGATACAACTCCAGCGCCACCGTGTGGCCACCACGTGATACACTGCAGCGCCCCGTGTGGCCACCACGTGATACAACTGCAGCGCCACCGTGTGGCCACCACGTGATACACCTGCAGCGCCCACGTGTGGCACCACATGATACAACTCCAGCGCCACCGTGTGGCCACCAACGATGATACAACTGCAGCGCCCACCGTGTGGCCACCACGTAAGTAAACTGCAGCGCACCGTGTGGCCACCACGTGAGTACAACTGCAGCACCACCGTGTGGCAACCACGTGATACAACCTGCCAACGCCCCCGTGTGGCACAACGTGATACAACCGCAACGCCCCCGTGTGGCCACCACGTAAGTCAACTGCAGCGCCACCGTGTGGCCACCACGTGATACAACTGCAGCGCCCCCGTGTGGCCACCACGTAAGTCAACTGCAGCGCCACCGTGTGGCCACCACGTAAGTCAACTGCAGCGCCACCGTGTGGCCACCACGTGATACAACTGCAGCGCCACCGTGTGGCGACCACGTGATACAACTTCAGCGCCCCCGTGTGGCCACCACGTGATACAACTGCAGCGCCACCGTGTGGCCACCACGTGATACAACTGCAGCGCCACCGTGTGGCGACCACGTGATACAACTTCAGCGCCCCCGTGTGGCCACCACGTGATACAACTGCAGCGCCACCGTGTGGCCACCACGTGATACAACTGCAGCGCCCCCGTGTGGCCACCACGTGATACAACTGCACAACTGCAGCGCCACCGTGTGGCCACCACGTGATACAACTGCAGCGCCACCGTGTGGCCACCACGTGATACAATTGCGGCGCCACCGTGTGGCCACCACGTGATACAGCTGCACAACTGCAGCGCCCCCGTGTGGCCACCACGTGATACAACTGCAGCGCCACCGTGTGGCCACCACGTGATACAACTGCGGCTCCACCGTGTGGCCACCACGTGATACAATTGCGGCGCCACCGTGTGGCCACCACGTGATACAACTGCACAACTGCAGCGCCCCCGTGTGGCCACCACGTGATACAACTGCAGCGCCACCGTGTGGCCACCACGTGATACAACTCCAGCGCCACCGTGTGGCCACCACGTGATACAACTGCAGCGCCCCCGTGTGGCCACCACGTGATACAACTCAAGCGCCACCGTGCGGCCACCACGCGGTACAACTGCAGCGCCCCCGTGTGGCCACCACGTGATACAACTGCAGCGCCCCCGTGTGGCCACCACGTGATACAACTGCAGCGCCACCGTGTGGCCACCACGTGATACAACTGCAGCGCCCCCGTGTGGCCACCACGTGATACAACTGCAGCGCCACCGTGTGGCCACCACGCGGTACAACTGCAGCGCCCCCGTGTGGCCACCACGTGATACAACTGCAGCGCCACCGCTTGGCCACCACGCGGTACAACTGCAGCGCCACCGTGTGGCCACCACGTGATACAACTGCAGCGCCACCGTGTGGCCACCACGTGATACAACTGCAGCGCCACCGTGTGGCCACCACGTGATACACCTGCAGCGCCCCCGTTTGGCCACCACGTGATACAGCTGCAGCGCCACCGTGTGGCCACCACGTGATACAACTGCAGTGCCACCACACGGAGGCAGTGCCACCCGCGTGGTGGCCACCATGCGTGTGGGTGTATTGGAGAGTACCCACAACATTAACAGCAACACACCGGTGTGCTGCACTCGTAACGAATTGCCATGTTTTGTTTAAGTGAGAAACCTTTATAATTGGCTGTGTCGGGTGGTGGCGGGTTTAACATTTATCTTTACGCGATATAACCCAAACATTTCTCTATTTACTGTAGTTGTGCATTTGTCCACAAGAGGGCAACACGTGACTTGAATCGCCCTGACCCTAATCTGTAATGCTCAGATAACCACCTCAGCCCTATAGCTTTGATTTAATTGAATATCTGGCTTGCATGCCACAATGATTGTTATAATTCAGTTGCTATACTTTAGGGTGGTGCATAGTAATACAGTATATAATTTAATAATGTCAATGGGAGAGTGCAAGCTTCCCCTCACCACTCTCCCATTGACATTTCGTTGCTTCCTCTTAGTACCTTTCACGCGACGGTTAATAGTATAGTGTATATACAATGTATAAGGTAATATATAGTATCGTAATTTTATAGTGAATATATAGCAGTGTGGTATACAGTTGAGTGGGTAGAATAAAACAGTGTAATATGACAATGTATAGTCAAATTTCGATTTAAAGCTTTCGTGACTGCAGGGATTCATCTTCTTGGTTCTTTCGGTAAAGTCACGTAGAAGGGAAGTAATAAAATAATAAAACATAATAAAATAATTCTCACGACATTTCGGCCACAACGCAAGCAGCCGTCCTCAGGTGAAAACCAGGTCTGTCGGGGAGACAGCGTCTGAATGAAACAGCACACGAGCTTGGAGCATATATATAAGCTGGGTTGGGAGGGGGGGAAAGGGCGCTTCGACAAAATAATTTGCATATCAAGAGGAATTTAGCATATTTATGGGAAATGCAGGAATGTGACTAGTACTACATATGCCCGTGCATTATGCAGGATTAGCAGCATCAAAGGGAGGGGATATGGGAAATGCAGGTATGTGAATAGTACTAATTATGCCCGTGCATTATGCAGGATTAGCAGTAGAGTGCAAAATAAGTTCAACATACAGTTCAGAATCAGAATATTTTATACTCGAGGAATCCGATGAGCTATAAAGCTCTTTTTCACAGATTTCCAGTAGGGGAATGGGGTAAGAACGTTACAACAAATAATACAAAACATGACAGTTCATTTTTGCGGGCATAGAGACAGACACAGACAGGGTAAGGCGGTGTTGTGGGTGAACGAGCGGGTGAGTAGGTGTGTGGGTAGGTGGAGTGGGTGAGTAGATGAGTGGATAGAGTGGGTTAGTCTCACCTCGATGTCTCATGGTCTTTTGAAGCTAATTTAATGGGGCTCTGATGATGCAAAATCACCATCAGCAGCATGAGCAATTATCACCACTTGCTACTAATAATTATGCTGCTGGTGATGATCATGATGTTGCCGATGGTGGAACAGCAGAAGCATCATCAGCGAGTAATGATGCAGAATTATCAACATCACTTACAGCTGTTGATGATGATTTGGTATTCTCAGCATAATCATCATGTGCTGCTGCTGGTGAATCTCAATCATATGCTGATACAAAACTCATCATTGCTTGAACCTGATGATGATGGAACAAGCAGAAGCATCCTCAAAAACACCACATTCTGCTGATATACAGGTACAGCAGCAGTATCACAGTAATCAGCTGCTGCTGCTACGGATGCATTTAGCAGGCGTCCATGTTGGTTAATTAATTTATCAGGCAGAGAGACCACAGAGACCCACCCCCCAAGACCGAACCTTCTAAGTAATGCAACCATTCGCTTTCTTACAAACGCTTCGATCCTTACGCAGTTCCCAGAGAACACAGCACATAAAATAAAATCAACGTTTTATTTGTACAGTTAACAAGTCACATCCACGCAGCTTGCATTACACAATCTGAAATATAAATTCCAATGCAATGTCAGGATCAGTATCAAATTAAATGTCTGCATATTCAAAACCCTTTGGTCTAATACACCATGCTTGGTTTGTAAAGCTCCAAACACGATAAAACATACGATTTCTCCAGCCTGCAAATAGCTGTACACCCCCCATGAGTTCAAAACAAACTCACAGAATTTTAACACATGAACATGGGGCTCCATTTAAGTGTTGACGAATGTAACATTTTTTCAGATTTTTCCATGATAATTTGGCAAGGTATCCATGAACAAATGTGGGACATAGCCAAGATGATGCAAAGTGATTATCATAATGTCAATCTATCCTGTTGTCTTCACATTTACAAATTAGTGCTTTTTCTGGGTTTTTACAGCTTTGTTGGATGCTCCCAAAACGATTCGGCGCAGGGGTTTAAGTTGACGATTCACCTTTGGAGTGATTGGCACCTGGAAAGCCACACTCTGCCGCCTCAAAGCCTGCAAGGGAGAATTCAGAGGATGACATGTTGCCTTCATGATACATGCTTGTGTATAAATGAATCAGTGAATACATGTTCTAGTGTGAGTCAAGCTAGTGGCCTAACTCTTGGGTGTGGCCTGGATCCACTGCAAACAGAAGGGCCTTGGAAGACTTTGGTCAATGTCTGGCAGATCAGCAAGAACGACCCAAAACATCTTGCAAGCTATGTTCATGCACGACTCTTTGTACAATTCTATATGGTAGTCAATTTAAAGTGGTTTCTCACCCACAAATGGCTCAAACGAGCAAGGGAAGTTCAATCCATAAGAATACCACTTTTATAAAATATGCATTACAATTTTAAAATATAGTCAGTCTTGTATTAAGTTCCTCAAAGATAACGAATTATAAGTGCCACTTTAGAGTACATTATGACAAGCATGTTTTAGCTCTAATGACACCACACAATTATATATGATACACAGACCCATTCCTGAGCATACATTTCTTGAAGTGGCTAATAGTAGTGAGTTTTCTCAAATCACATAAGCCTGGTGGAAGTGACGCTCAGTCACAGCGATTGAGTTGCGATCTGCTAGCTGTGGATTTCTGTTTTCCACCGATACTTCTGTTCCATTAGATACAATGGCAGCAGGATGATGTGTGCTTCACAGCAAAAAGGACATCGGTACACAATTCCTGAGTATGTATGTTCTCCCCCTGTTCTGCATGGTTGTCATCCAGCTTCTACGGTTTCCTCCCATATTTAAAAAACCATTGAACATAACTGGTGTTGGCCAAACAACCCAATGCTAAGAATATCCTGCAAATTACTTCATTAAGAATACAGAGAGCAACATAATTACCTTTTCTGTGAACACTTGGCAGGACATTTGTGGGAAAGAGCTTTATAGCTCATCGGATTTCTCTAGTATAAATATTTCAATTCTGAAAAAGGGTTGAGATTTTGAGACTTTCCTGGGTTGATAAGTAGTCGGCACCATAAACATGTGGAGCGAGGGGTGGGGGGATGAGGTACCTCGATATTTGTAGAGTCTGACTCCTCTGGGATGATGTTTTCAAATGACTCAAAGCCTCCACTGCCTTGGTTTTCTGATTCTGCACAATAAGGTTTGGATATACTTGCCCCTTGAAATCGTTTGTTCTGTACAAATAAACATTCAACACAAAGCAAATGGGTAGTGAAGCACGGCATTATTTCTTTATGGTCAAAATGCGAATGTTTGCTTACAAACTACATGAAGATATCGTCGCATGTTCACTCAGTGCAGTCTACTTTTACATTTTGCTGCTCAAGGAAAGAAAGCGTTTTGTGATTTTACTGAACAGTTTATTGTATTAGACTGAACTTGTGGACATTCGTCTTACTCAATGCATCCATATTTGTTCAACTCTTGGGTCCACTCCAATGACATGCCTGATACATTGTGATGTGGTTGGTTCACATACCACGCCTTCAATGGGCATGGCTGGCTGCGTACGGTGCGAAAGAAGTTCAGCATACATACACTTGTCCTTGATTCTTTGCAATGACAATAAAATATCTGGTCAGATAATAATAGACATACTGATTCTTAGTTCAATTTCTCCAGTCTATTATTTATTTATTACACATGTTTACCTAAAAAAGCGTTTACTTTCATAACTTTTTAAGGAGGTCCCTGAAGTTTATGCAGTCGGGCCATATTCAAACTGATTAATTTGCACGTAATTTTTGATATTTGGACCAGGACACCATAAAAAAAAATGCCTACTCTTATGAAATACATCACGAGATCATTAATGTAAACTGTGAAATGGAGGGCGCATGTTGTTTTATGGTTTATACACCAGCAGTGACAACCAGTGAACCTATGCAACAAGTGGTGAACGCGATACCGGTGGTCCGTGTCACTGCACAAGCTTTGTGAAAGTCTCAACACGATCTAACACCTGCGCGGATGAACGGATATTGCTGTTTTATAGAATATCGTGGATATCACCGACCTGCAGTGAACACTGCCCTGAAGATGCAGGGCGTTTCCTGGAGAAGGTAGCGGCCTGTGAAGGAGGGCCTCTCTTCTCCCTGGCCACCGTGTCCGAGCGTAAAGTGGCCGTGTTGGTGGCCGGCCTTCTGTCCACTATGGACTTGAGCGACCACAAGCCGGGGGGACTCGCGTGACCCCTGGGCACCAAGGTGAACCGTCGTGGAGCCAAGCTCTGCCGTCACAAGGCATGCACACATGTTCCGTGGGGTCACCCAACAATATGTACCAGTTAAGGTTCTCACTGTGAAAATTAGTTTTTATTTTTCATTGTCCGTTTTTTTATTCTTACTGTTCCCTCATATGGAATCACACATGCACAGCCTTAACCAGTGCCACTGTGGCTAGAGCATTTAACTCAACGTTGAAGGTTCAAATCCTGGTCACGGGTCAACTCAGCAAATCATCACCTTGGGATCAATAAAATAGGTACCACTTTTTGTGGGCAGTCAACAATGGTCATTTGCCTCTGTGGCCCAATCAGAATTCAGTGAAACCTCTCAAAGCCAGACTAATTTGGGGCAGAGCAATTCTGGTTATGGGGGATGTCTGTCAGACTGAGTAATTAAATAAGGACACCATTACTACGCTTTGATTAACTTTGTATAAACGAACAATCACCACATTCCATTTCCACTAATTAACGCCATAAGATTAACTTACATATTTGACATTAACAATTGAAAAATACTTAAAATATCTCATCCAATTCATAGTTTCTTTTGGGTTAGACTGTATCTGTAATGTACATTTTGAACTGTAACTCATGATTGCAGTCAATCATATCGAGCTGTCATGTGGAAAAATATGCTAATTTATTTAGTTATTCAGCAAAATCGGCTTGTTGACTAACCAAATGGGTGAAGGGTTATGTTAAAATATTGGTATAAACCCCTACAAGGATCTAACCCAAAATAAATTACTGTCATGCGGTAGCACAGTGATTATTCCTGCTCACAACCAACATCATTGACGAATATATTAACCGGTCCTGGGCCTCTCCTAGGCCAATTCAGCCATAAATGAGTACCTGATGCTGCATTTAAACATCAGTACTGGGGAGACAAAAGCGTCCGAGCATTGTTGTTTGCCACATCACGCCCTCATGCGCAGTGTCGGAGCAAAGTGTGAACCTGTGAATGTCTTTCTTGCCCAGTGCAGCTCAACATGGAAGCTCTGCGCAGCGTCTCCACGGGGTCGCCCTGTTTCATTTGCTCATCTGTCGTCTGTACACATGTCTACAAACACACAAACATGCAGCCTCGTCACCACAACAGCCCCCACCTACCCACATGGTGAAGGACAGATGCACACAAACGGAAACATAATGTTCGTGTGCAGAAACTACATGCGTGTGCCTAAAGTCCATGTCTGTGTGTGCGAGTCCATATGTGTTTGTGTGCGTGTAAGTCGATGGATTTCTATGTGTGTGGGTCCATGTCTATGTGTAAGTCCATGTGTGTGTCTGTCTTTTTCAAACGGACAACGCCCCGTGTGTGTGTACATACAAGTGTTTGTGTGTGTGTCAGTCTATTTGTGTGCGTATCTGTCGCTGTGTGTGTGTTAGTCCACATGTGTGTGTTAGTCCATACGTGTGTGTTTCACTCGATGTGTGCAAGTCAATGCGTGTGTGCGAGTCGATGTGTGTGCATGGCTCCATCTGAGTGTGTAAGTCAATGTGCGTTTGTATGTCTATGTGTGTCAGTCGATGTGTGTGTGTTAATCCATGTGTGTGTATCTAAAGTAGATGTCTGTGTGTCACAGTACATATGTCTATGTGTGTGTAGGACAATGTGTGTGTCAGTCTATGTATGTGTGTGTAAGTCCATGTGTTTGTGTGTGTGAGTCGATATGTCTGTGTGTGTCAGTCCATGGCTGTCTGTGTTAGTCGCTTTGTGTGCATGCCTCAATGTCAGTCAGTGTAAGTCCATTTCTTTGCGTGTCTGTAGGTCCATGTGTGCGTGTGAGTGAATGCATGTGCTTTATTGACCTGCTCAAGGCCTATGATACCATCAGTAGGCCTGTACTCTGGGTTGTTCTTCATGCTTTCGGAGTCCCTCAAACTTTGCTCATGATCCTTAAGGACCTTCATGATGGTGAGCGGCCCCGCGTCAAACTACATGACCGTCAGTCGGAGCCATTCCCTCTACACCTTAGGGTGTGACAGGGATGTCCTCTGGCTCCACATTATTTAACATATCTTTTGACCACGTAGTTCGTGAAGCCTTCAATGGCTGTTCCCGAGGAATTACCATATGGTACAGATACAATGGGAGGCTGATCGATGCCCGGGTGCGGTCAAGGGATGCCTCCCTATTGCTCAACCATGTTATGTATGCCGATGCTCTGGTGATTGCTGCTCACTGCGGCTGAACCTGGAGCTTGCCACTAAGAGGTGGGGCCTTACCATCAGCCCCACCAAAACTAAGCACTTGCCTGGGTATTTTGTACCATCGAACAATCCACCCCCACAATTCACAATTGGTGATGCGGTAGTTGTGGAGAGATTGCCGAGATTCACATACCTGGCCAGTGTGCTCATGACCGGCTCCGGTTTAACAGCAGAAGTCTCACTCCAAATCAGTCGAGCGCCATTATCTTTTCATCGGCTGCGTTACGCTGTGTGGAAGCTACCTGGTCTTTCGCTCCGCATGAAGCTCCAGGTCTTCTCGGCCACGGTAATTTCGTCCCTTCTCTACGCTTGCGAAACATACACCCCCCTAATGGAACATCTTCGCCAGTTATAAACATTTAGGCTGGCCTGCTAACGATCCTTTCCTGGATTTAACCATATATGTGTGTGTGTGTGCATCTAAGTTGATGTGTTTCTATGTGTGTGGGTCAATGTCTGTGTGTAAGTCCATGTGTCTATCTTCCTTTTTTGCCCGAGCAACGCCGGGTACTTACCGCTAGTTACACATATATTGCATAAAGAGTATCAACATTGGTTAATGTTTTTGACAATATTCATTATTCAAAGCTAAATTGTGATTTTTAAAAGCTCAAGGCCAAATGTCTAACATGCTCAACTACTAACTATATAATAAGCAGCTGATCATATGTCTGTATGCAAGTATGGCGCAATCCTAGACTAATGTTCTGTGCCCGATACGGTTTTCCCAAAGTCCACAGCCCATTAAGAATGTATAGGAAGTTCTGGAGTGTATATTGTGAATGCTAACTTGCCAAACTTTACTTTGACATAAGGGCAAATATTAAGGGGAAAATAAGACATTATATTCATTTACTAATACATTTCAAAACTAATATACAATTCTGTATCAATCCACTGCTGGATGGTCTCCCATATGGTGTGTCAGTCATGGGTGATGTTTTCCATACTTCACCACGCTGGTCATTGTAGAAAGGGATATCCTTGAAATAAGCACAATTGTTTATCAGTCACAGTGGCTTGAGTGCAGAGTGTGCGGTGCCGCTCACCTGTGTCTCCACTGGGTAGGAAGACTTCATGTGCGGGGCACAGCGCATGTTCCTCGACTGCAGCTCTGCGATGCGTCCACTTATATCATCCTCCTCCTCATCCGCAATGGAGCCCAGCTCAAACGACGTGTCCTTGCCTGCCACGCACATGCTGAGTATTAGTTTTATTACTTTCGGTCTTAGTTCTCCCAGTTCAGAAAAGTGACACAGCCCAGCAGTAAGATGATCGCCGCTTGTTACGGAGGTTTGCAGTTTGAACTGGATCATCACCTTAATCAATACTGCAGTATTTATAAAATGTGAATGGGGTAATGCTGAAAAAATGACTAAGTGCGAGCAGAATAAATCCAGCTACGGTGAATGAATGCAAGCCAAACCAGCACTACTCTTGTGCCCCTGCACCCCGCTGGGCACTGTAGACGCCGTTCGCTCGGCCAGCAGAGAATCACGTGTAGACCCGGCACCCCAGACCTGGGTAGTGTCGCACTCCTGAGGGTCTCTGCTCGATTCCTAAAACAGAATTCCAGTTACACACACATACTGACATTGCTTCCCACAGCCACAACAGCTGCAATTCACCACTGAGTGGCAGTTATGTCACCAGGAAGCTTATGCCAGGATAGGTGCACTTTGAGGTCATGTGAAGTGTCAAAGGCTCACTGACAGATGACAGCATAGACCCAGGTGGTTTGGGTTGACTGCTGAGATGACTGACAGATGCTCCACCTGTGATCCCTACTGTGCAAACTTGCTGCGTTTTAGCCGTTTGCCTCTTGTTTTATTGGAGGGCGACTGCCTCCAACTGCCCTCTAGCATCCTTCATGAGCCTTTTCTACAGAGGCTGACCACGCTGGTACCAGTCATTGGCAATTCCACACCGTGTTAAAAATTCCACTCAGCTTCACATTATTCTGTACCACAGCCCATCTCTTATCTAGCCCGTGCTGCTTGGGCATGTGGTGACTGGGCATGCCTCTACATAAGCCAGCCAACGCAGCTTTTCCTACCTGCCGGAGCTCAATGATGGGACTGTGTCCAGAACTTTCAAGGATCTGTGAGCTCGTCACGCAATCCAGCCTGGTTAATCCCAGGATGGGTTGTAGGGAAACCAGGCTGAATGTTTAAAACCAGTGTAAAATCTCTTATAAAGGGGTCCACGTTTATCAAGCAAAGAGAAGGGAGGGTATATCTGTGTCCTGCCCAAGAAAACTAAATTTTTTGACAGTGAATAGAAAAACAATCAAAAAATATGAGACGAAAAAAGTCTGAGAAATTAAAACGAAACTCTTGACGAAAAGCACGCAGATCTATTGCAAAAGGATAAACCTATTTGAAGGACACTGTGAACGAAGGAATTAATGAAAGCCGCCTCATCATTGTGCGCACCTTGTTCATGTAGATGTGAATGATCTGTTTGGAGCAGTGGTGCTCCACCGTGCCCGACTCGTCTAGGGAGTCTGTACTCAGCTCATCGCTCTCATTCCGCCGGGCGGCAGTGCTCCCATTGCGCTTGCTAGTGCCGCAGCCTCTCGTAGACACTTGGGCATTCTCCAATTCAGCCTGCCCCTTACCACCTGCTACTGAAGTGAAAGTCGCACCATCACCCCCACCACTGGCCTTAACCGACGTGAGGCGGTCACGGCTTGCCCTGCACACAACTTTATCAGTGCCGTGGGAGTCAGCGGACACCCTGCAATCCATATCTGTGGACGGGAGACGCAACTTCTTGCCGACTCCGGCAGACACCATCTGCCAAAAATACAATGGTAATTAAAAGCTGAGGCTTCAAGATTGGACGGCATTCAGTAATGACTTGAACAGCACCGATCGGGCGAAGCAGATTGGAATGTGCTTAGCTGAATAGAATGTTATAGGACCTGCTCACCTGTGATTTTATGTTCTGGATAAGCCAATCTTTGTTGGCCGAATCCCTCTGGCTCTCAGCCAGTTCGCACTGCAAGCTCCGACACAGCTTTTGGCTTTGCTCCAGGCTAACTGACCATCTCTGCTCTTTGACCTAAAATCACACACGCTACAGAGATTAGGTCCAAAACACATTGCAAGAACACATGCACGGCATATTCAATGGTTCTTTTGGTAAAGTCAAGTAGATAGAAAAAAAAATTAAGTGAATAAAAATATCATGACGTTTTGATCGCAACAAAAGCGGTCGTCATCAGGAAAAAGGGATTAACCTCTAACGGCAAACTGTTTGTAAAGGATTGGAGATAGGCGTAGCCCAAGTGTATCAGCAGCACGAGCAACATGGGCGGGGCAGCAATGCCAATGCAGCAACAATGGCAATGCAGCCAAGGGCCGCCAGGAAATCACTACATCCCGCTCCACACACCACACTGCTGATGGTGAAGGTTGATTGACAAGAAAACACAAGTCAAGTCATGACCCAAAGTGGTTGATGACATATTTTCAAGGATTGCTGAGTCTGTGTGCCGTTAATCTTATTTTTAAAATCCCACATGAGTAGAAAGGTTGTTTTCTATTTTAAATGCATTTTCAAAATACGTTCAACGCATTGACATCTTAAGTGAAATAACCGCAAGATGCTGTACAAGACCAACACTTGTTATTCCTGAAAATGCATGATGACATCAATGCACATCTGTGCATGTTTTATGAAAGACATTGCACTGAGGATACGCACCTTGTGATTGCCTTCACATTCTTTTAGTTTTTGCTTTAAATCATCAGCCTACAAACACAGGAAACATTAATTGTGAACATTCCAAAATACTTATAAATCAATAAAATATAATTGACATCACCGAGTGGTAGTTACAGATATCCGCGGTTCAAATCTGGAAGACCGCCCTCGTTTTAACACTGCGGTGTGTATTCACCATGAAAAAATATGCACCGTTTGCTTCAAAGTCAATGTTAAAGATGCCATGATATATTTGCAAACGAGTAGTCCATTGTGTGCCAACATTACAGTCCAAATTTGCCAACACTTTGAAATGTACTGACAACACCCAATTGGGGAAGACCTAGCAATCATTGCCCTTTACTGAAAAATAGTCATGAGACTCACTAAAGCTTTCTTGGTTCAACAAGCCAAATAATAATGTCTGTAAAACAAAGCGCCTTTCTTCATAGTAGACTTGCTATTAAAAATTACACAAATAACCAAATGTGCTCAATTCTAATGCAAGAGATAAATACAAGCTACCTCTTGTTGAAGCTTCCTCTTATCGCCCTGCGCCACATCTCCATCCTCAAGCATCTTCTGCCGTGTTGACTCATATTTCAGGCTCATGTTCTCCAGTTGTTCCTTAACCCTGTCAGCTTCCACAAGATGAACCTGCAGTCGTTGCTCAGCTGTGCATTTCTGGCGTTTGAAGAGCGCTGACTTTAGTTCAAACTCGTTTAACTGTGAGTCCAATGTCTTCTTGATGTTGTCAGCTGCTACCTTTTCTCTGGCAGCTGCAGCAGAAATAATCTTTTGGAACATTTCTTTGTCTTGTTCCTTCTGTAATGCGAGAAAAGCGTGCTGTTCTTTCAGTTCAAATATGCTGTTTTTTAGTTCGTGAACTTTATTCTGCAAATAACGCTCCTGCGCGAGTTGAATCTCGTACTTGTCAGCAATCTTTTGATTATCACCTAGCAGGGAACTACATCGACTTTGCAAATCCATAATCGCGCCATTAAGATCCGTAATTGTGTCTTCAAATGACGAGCATTGAACATGCTTGTCTTGAATGCGTGCGTTCAAGTTATTCTCCAGCGCTTCTTTTTCTTCAAGTTGTTTTCGTGTCTTTTCAAGCTCTTCTTGCCTTTGTGACACAGCCGAGATTAAAAGCTGACCTTCATTCTCCTTCTCCTTTTCAAGGCCAGCCACCCTCATTACAAGATGCCCCTTCTCCTCCTCAAGACCAGTCACCCTCATGACAAGACCTTCCTTCTCCTCTTCAAGATCAGCCACCGTCATTGCAAGATGTCCCTTCTCCTTTTCAAGACCAGTCACAGTCATTACAAGATGTCCTTTCTCCTCATCCAGACCAGCCACCTTCACTACAAGACCTTCCTTCTCTTCCTCAAGTCCTGCCACCCTCGCTACAAGACCCTCGTTCTCGTTCTCAAGACCAGCCACCCTCACTACAAGATGTCCTTTCTCCTCATCCAGACCAGCCACCCTCATGACAATACATTCCATCTCCTCCTCAAGGCCAGCCACCCTCACCACCAGACCTTCCTTCTCCTCCTCAAGGCCAGCCACCCTCACTACAAGACGTTCCTTCTCCTCTTCAAGGTCAGCCACCCTCACTACCAGACCTTCCTTCTCCTCCTCAAGGCCAGCTACCCTCACTACCAGACCTTCCTTCTCCTCTTCAAGTCCTGCCACCCTCACTACAAGACCTTCCTTTTCCTCCTCAAGACCAGTCACCCTCACTACAAGACCTTCCTTGTCCCGTTCAAGACTTTCATTTTCCTCTTCAAGGGCAGCTACCCTCATTACAAGACCTTCCTTTTCTTGCTCAAGGTCAGCCACCCTCATTAATATACGTTCCTTCTCCTCTTCAAGACCAGTCACAGTCATTACAAGATGTCCTTTCTCCTCGTGCAGACCAGCCACCCTCACTACAAGACGTTCCTTCTCCTCTTCAAGGTCTGCCACCCTCACTACAAAACATTCCTTCTCCTTCTCAAGACCAGCCACCCTCACTACAAGACCTTCCTTCTCCTCTTCAAGGCCTGCCACCCTCATTACAAGATGTCCTTTCTCCTCATCCAGACCAGCCACCATCATTACAATACCTTCCTTCTCCTCCTCAAGTCCTGCCACCCTCGCTACAAGACCCTCGTTCTCGTTCTCAAGACCAGCCACCCTCACTACAAGATGTCCTTTCTCCTCATCCAGACCAGCCACCATCATTACAATACCTTCCTTCTCCTCCTCAAGTCCTGCCACCCTCGCTACAAGACCCTCGTTCTCGTTCTCAAGACCAGCCACCCTCACTACAAGATGTCCTTTCTCCTCATCCAGACCAGCCACCCTCATGACAATACATTCCATCTCCTCCTCAAGGCCAGCCACCCTCACTACAAGACGTTCCTTCTCCTCCTCAAGTCCTGTCACTCTCACTACAAGACCTTCCTTCTCCTCCTCAAGGCCAGCCACCCTCACTACGAGACCGTCCTTCTCGTTCTCAAGACCAGTCACAGTCATTACAAGATGTCCTTTCTCCTCATCGAGACCAGCCACCCTCATGACAATACATTCCTTCTCCTCTTCAAGGTCAGCCACCCTCACCACCAGACCTTCCTTCTCCTCCTCAAGGCCAGCCACCCTCACTACAAGACGTTCCTTCTCCTCCTCAAGGCCAGCTACCCTCACTACCAGACCTTCCTTCTCCTCTTCAAGGCCTGCCACCCTCATTACAAGATGTCCTTTCTCCTCATCCAGACCAGCCACCCGCATTACAATACCTTCCTTCTCCTCTTCAAGTCCTGCCACCCTCACTACAAGACCTTCCTTTTCCTCCTCAAGACCAGTCACCCTCACTACAAGACCTTCCTTGTCCCGTTCAAGACTTTCATTTTCCTCTTCAAGGGCAGCTACCCTCATTACAAGACCTTCCTTTTCTTGCTCAAGGTCAGCCACCCTCATTAATATACGTTCCTTCTCCTCTTCAAGACCAGTCACAGTCATTACAAGATGTCCTTTCTCCTCGTGCAGACCAGCCACCCTCACTACAAGACGTTCCTTCTCCTCTTCAAGGTCTGCCACCCTCACTACAAAACATTCCTTCTCCTTCTCAAGACCAGCCACCCTCACTACCAGACCTTCCTTCTCCTCTTCAAGGCCTGCCACCCTCATTACAAGATGTCCTTTCTCCTCATCGAGACCAGCCACCCTCATGACAATACATTCCTTCTCCTCTTCAAGGTCAGCCACCCTCACCACCAGACCTTCCTTCTCCTCCTCAAGGCCAGCCACCCTCACTACAAGACGTTCCTTCTCCTCTTCAAGGTCAGCCACCCTCACTACCACACCTTCCTTCTCCTCCTCAAGGCCAGCTACCCTCACTACCAGACCTTCCTTCTCCTCTTCAAGTCCTGCCACCCTCACTACAAGACCTTCCTTGTCCCGTTCAAGACTTTCATTTTCCTCTTCAAGGGCAGCTACCCTCATTACAAGACCTTCCTTTTCTTGCTCAAGGTCAGCCACCCTCATTAATATACGTTCCTTCTCCTCTTCAAGACCAGTCACAGTCATTACAAGATGTCCTTTCTCCTCGTGCAGACCAGCCACCCTCACTACAAGACGTTCCTTCTCCTCTTCAAGGTCTGCCACCCTCACTACAAAACATTCCTTCTCCTTCTCAAGACCAGCCACCCTCACTACAAGACCTTCCTTCTCCTCTTCAAGGCCTGCCACCCTCATTACAAGATGTCCTTTCTCCTCATCCAGACCAGCCACCATCATTACAATACCTTCCTTCTCCTCCTCAAGGTCTGCCACCCTCACTACCAGACCTTCCTTCTCGTTCTCAAGACCAGCCACCCTCACGGCAAGACCTTCCTTCTGCTCCTCAAGGCCAGTCACCCTCACTACAAGACCTTCCTTGTCCCGTTCAAGAATTTCCTTTTCCTCTTCAAGGGCAGCTACCCTCATTACAAGACATTGCTTGTCCTGTTCTAGACCAGCCACCCTCACTACAAGACCTTCCATCTCCTCTTCAAGGTCAGCCACCCTCATTACGAGATGTCTCTTCTCCTGCTCAAGGCCAGCCACCCTCATTAATAGACCTTCCTTCTCCTTTTCAAGTCCAGTCACAGTCATTACTAGACGTCCTTTCTCCTCATGCAGACCAGCCACCCTCACTATAAGACTTTCTTTCTCCTCTTCAAGGCCTGCCACCCTCACTGCCAGACCTTCCTTCTCGTTCTCAAGGCAAGTCACCCTCACTACAAGATGTTCCTTCTCCTCTTCAAGGCCTAACACCCTCATTAGAAGACCTTCCTTGTCCCGTTCAAGACTTTCCTTTTCCTCTTCAAGGGCAGCTACCCTCATTACAAGACCTTCTTTCTCCTCCTCAAGGTGAGCCACCCTCATTACAAGACCGTCCTTCTCCTTTTCAAGACCAGTCACAGTCATTACAAGACGTCCTTTCTCCTCATCCAGACCATTCACCCTCACTACAAGACGTTCCTTCTCATCTTCAAGACCTGCCACCCTCACTACCAGACCTTCTTTCTCCTCCTCAAGGTGAGCCACCCTCACTACAAGACCTTCCTTCTCTTCTTCAAGGTCAGACACTCTCATTACAAGATGTCCCTTCTCCTCCTCAAGACCAGTCACACTCACCACGAGACATTCCTTCTCCTTCTCAAGGCCAACCACTTTCCTTCCTAGACATTCACTCTCCTCTTGCAGGAGTGACAGTTTTCCTATGAGCCTGTTTCTCTCTTGTGCTAAGTCAGACACTGCATTCAGAAGTGTCTGTTTTTCATTCTCAGCATCAGATATTTTCACTCTCAGCATCTCCCTCTCCTCCTTCAGAATGGATTCATTCGCCAAGAAACAACGGAGTTCTTCCTGCATGTGTTTTATCTGCTCAGACAGCTCTAACTTTTCATTTTCAATGTTTTGAATTTTCTTCTCCATCTTTGAAATACTTGACAAATATCTACATCTCTCTTGTTCGTTAACCTTTTCCAAACAAATTACATCTTCTTCCTTCTGTTCCAACTTACTCTGAAGCTTTTCTACATTAATTTTGTTCTCTTCCATTTCAGCTAACAATTCATTTTCTCTCTGTTCTGCTTTCCTTTCAAGATCCTTTATATTTTGTTTCATTAAGTCCAATTCCCTTTGAAATTCCATCAATGTGTTCTGATGTTGGAATAGCTGCAGCTCCAGCTGCCTATCGTTTTCATCTATAATTGACTGCAGAGTATGTTTATCAGACTGCAGTTGTTGAACTAAACTATTATGATGGTTCTGAGTGTTCACCAAAGTCGCTATTTCTTGCTTTAGTGAGTCCATCTACAGAGAAATATGGGGAATTATTACAGTCACCCAAAATATCACCAGCAAAAGCATTGTTTACATCTTAACAGTGTCATTTGTCACTCTAAGCACCAATAATTTCGAGCATACATCTGCAACCGTGCACTCCACTTGTAAATTAAATGAAGGTGGAACGCAAAAAAATAAAATCTGTGTGGCACACAATAACCTATGTATTGCAGGCTGATCAAGGCTTTAAAAACCAGTCAGGTGCTTTGCCTGTACGTGAGTCACATCACTGCAATCATGTTCTAGAATACGTGGCAGTCGCATAAGTAATGTCACTGGAGACCTATAATAGAATGCCTCACTGTAACGTTTTTCTATCAATGGAGTTTTGGATTTAAGAGTGTTTGTTTTCAACAACTGAGGTGGATCAGTGATAGAGTGGTTTGGGGGGTTGACTCAACCAATCACCGCTCATTCCATGGTCATTAAAATTAGTACCACTTTGTGGGAAAGTCAATAGTGGATGCCCTATACAGACAGCCCCCTGCCATAGGAATGGGGAACTTTCAGCCCTGGCTCTGGGCTGTAAGCAGGAGATAGGCAGTGCCTCAATGCTCATTTGAGCATTAACAATATTTTTGAACTTATATCAGGGGCACAGACAGCCCAGTAGTGACAAAGGGGGTATTGGTCTTTTGGATTGCTTCTTCCTGAAAAGACTCCTCCTGGTAGGAGTGTTAATAGTCCGATGATCCTACAGGATTCCATTAGTTATTTAATTACCGTGGTTGTACCTGAATAGCATCTCCCAAAACCTCCCCACAGGCCACCTCCTGCCGCGTCTCCTCTAGCTGCTCCACAAGAACAGCCACCTTGGCTTCCAGGATGTCCCTTCGCTCTTCCAACTCGGCCTACATGCCACACACCACGTACGATCCACTTACACTGCATAGCCCACAGCACATACGCAAATACACACAATGATGCCGTGTTTGATGATACTATAACTACTAATGATGCTATGTGTGATGTATGTATGTATGTGGAACTTCTTTTGCACCGTACGATGTGCGTGATTGTTGAGTGTGGTGAAGCTGTGTGTGCTGTGTGTGAGTGTACATGTCTTTAAGTGTTTGCCATGTACGTATCAATCGATGCCCTGTTCCATCTCAAGGGATTATCCAGGGGAAATATTGTAATAAGTGAAATTCTTGGAGCTACCTTTATGTCCAGCAATGTTTGCAGTCGAGTCTTCAGTTCCACACACTCTGTCTCCTTCTGCAGGAGCACCCCTTCACTGCAGCTCACCACCTCACGCAACTTAGTCCGACTTTCACTCAGCTTCACTCCAGCATCTGCAAGCTGCAAACCAAGAACAGAATGTCACTTTGAAGCTGTACAAATATTCTTTGTACGATTACCTTCATCAGCCTTAGCCAACTACTTAAACCAGCCATAAACTAGTTTTTCTCATTCCTAGCTTAAACTTTCATCAGCTCAGCAGACCAGATAATGCAAACACGATTGCACTGAAAGGGGAGACACAAGAGAGTGTGGAGAGAACATGGCAGATGTGGCCAGGTGGCACAAAAGGTCAGAGCGCCGAGCTGGCACCACCGAGGTCATTGGTCAAACCGTGTTCTCAAGTGGAGCGAGCCGATGGTCTCAGTCTGTTCACCAATGATGGCACAAAAACATCAGCACATTATAGTTGGTTCTGGGCTTAATTCAATCTCTGTAAATGAAAAATATTTGCTGAACTGTTATGCCATGGACACTACTCTCGGTGAGGGGGTGTTTAGGAAAGTTTTGCCTTCTACTGTATAGACCAGAGGTCAGTTGAAAACATCTCAATGATAGAATGGGTTGTACTGCCTTGACAGATTCAAATGGATTGGTTGTCTTATGACATGGCACCAATAGTACAATGGTAACACAATTGGTGGAAAACACAAAAACACATGGATTTGTTTAATTTTAAAGGATCCCATTAACATACAATTAGATGAAGAAAATAATCGGGTAAATATTTTACGTAAAAATTTGAAAATAAGCTCCAGCCAGGTCGCTTGGAAGTATAGCAGGCAGCTCACAAATGGGAGGTTGCGAGTTTAGATCCTGGTTGAGTTTTACTCAGCCTATAATACATCTGGGCTGAGTAAATTAGATACCAATTGAATTGGTAAAGGTTGCCCCATTTAGGAACAATATAACAATAAAGAATTTTACAAAGCATCACGTATGCAGAAATGGGGAATTTCCACCACTGGATAAAGGCTGTTAATAGGAGATGAGCAGGACAAAATTAGTAAATTATGAAATCTGGTTTTTAAAACAAACCTTGCGAGACAGGCTCCCATTCTCATCTTTCAGGGTGTCCACCCTGTGCTCGCTGATTGCATTCTCTTTACGCAGTTCTTGGTTTTGGCGCATCACATCCTGCAGCCTGCCACAGCCCAGTATCGTTAGCAACACACACAATGCAGCCACTTACGCCACGGGCATCAACAACAGAGAGTAGAGCACACCACAACCAATCAATCTTTATTTTATACTAGCTTTTTTGTCTGTCCAAGGACGGGTGTATATTGCCGTAAATCTGAAATATTCAATAGAAAAATTGTTCAGCTCATGATTATTGAGGGGGGGGGTTGCCCCATGTAAAGTGACATCACCCACTAATGGTTATTGTGGAGGGGTGCGGCATGTGGAGTGACGTCACCCCCTCATGATTATTAATGAGGGGAGGGGTGCTGCATGTGGAGTGCGCGACCTTCTTGTGCGTTATTGTAAATTTCCAGGTTCGCATGAATATTAATGAAAGGGGGGGGGCCTCTTTTGCAGTGACGTCACGCATGGATGTAGCAGTGTGCTGCTTAGATTTATTTTTTACCGTCACTTTCTGTAAAGAAACGTCATATTTGAAGCGACTTTGCGTAATACATTTTTTAATTCAGCTCGACCTTCCTCTGCGTTCGTGTAAAAATCCACCCACGCATTAATATTAATGAGGGGGGGGTGGGCCTCATGTGGAGTGATGTCACACGAGGGGTGGGCCTCATGAGGAGTGACGTCACGCACGGGACAGACAGACATTCATGGGTGATTACAGGAGGTAATGCCAATATCGCCCTCAATAAAGTAGGCAACAGTGCACATTACAACTGAACGGGGAAAGTACAGGGACATGCAGCAACAGGAATGGAAAAAATAAACCCGTCACGCCCTCAGCAGCTAACAAGCACGGAGCAAAGTAAATTGCAACCACGCACAAAAAGTCCAACAATGTCCCGATGACCGATATGAGGGCTTCATTGGGGTATCGATAATAGCCTTAATAAATGATACTGTACACATATTTAAATTATTAAAGAATTTCGATTTAAAGCTTTCGTGACTGCAGGGATTCATCTTCTTGTTTCTTTCGGTAAAGTCACGTAGAAGGGAAGTAATAAAATAATAAAAATAAAACATAATAAAACAATTCTCACGACGTTTCGGCTACAACGCAAGCAGCCGTCCTCACCTGAGGACGGCTGCTTGCGTTGTAGCCGAAACGTCGTGAGAATTGTTTTATTATGTTTTATTTTTATTATTTTATTACTTCCCTTCTACGTGACTTTACCGAAAGAAACAAGAATATTAAAGAATTGTATAAATAAAAATAACTTTAAATAATGACATATAAAAATACAATAAATGATACACTCACCAGTGCATTCGGTTGGAGCGTGTGTAAGATTAACCACCGTCTGCCATAAACACACGCTTCACACGGAAAGCTATGCAGTACGAACCAAGTGGGATTGCTCGATCCATAGATCGCCAACTAATGTATGCAGTGATTAACCCTAGATGAATGGAAACTCTTAAAGCGGCTGAAGGACCGACTATGAGCAGAATTGATACAAGACATTTAGATTCTGGTTCCACAAGACCACATATGGGCAAAGACGCTCCAATAGGCAACTTCCTTCCATATATGGGCTGATCCGGCAGGAATTTTCATCCAGGACAAGGAGCGCTATAATGAAACGGCATTGTAAGAGGCAGCGCTGTAAGAGGCATGCCGGCACTCTCAAAATCCTATCTATATATATATACACAGCAATCAGGCAGTAACATGGCGCAGTGGTATCTGGGGCAGGCCGCCTCGGTTAGTGGGTTGTGTATTTAACCGTAAATACTACACTCCATCTGCCTTTGCAGGCCAAATTTGAAAATAACACATTTTACTCGATTCGGAAACACATAGCAGTGATCGCCCACTCCTGTGAAAACCTACAGGCACTCCTGAAAAGATCTTGAGACTTAGTGAGGCTTTCCATGGGAAACAAGTGTAACACAACGTAAAGTCAATATTGCTTGGTATTGCACTCGCCATATTTGACACCTAACTAACGTTATGAACACCCACCAATAATTTATACGAATTTACAATGTTAAAATAAAACAAGTTTGTTTCACAACCTATATACTATATGTGCAGTATTAATGATAATAAGTACAGCTTATATAGCACCTTTAATAAAATATCAAGGCACTTTACATCCATCATGATGGGGGTGGGGTTGGGTAAGAAGTGGCTCAGTTAAAATACAAAAAGCCATATGAAAGAGAAATGTTTTTAGGCGGGAAGAACTTGAAGATCTCAAATGAACCGGACTCCCGAACAGCCTTCGGATGAAAGATCCAAAGTCCATCTGCTATGGAAGCAAAGTCCACCATCCTCAGAGTTCTTGTTGTTGGAGAGTAGTTGCACAGTAATATTTGGAGGTGAAGATCATTCAGTGCCTTCAATGTGAGGGTCAGAACCATAGAAGCTGTATTCTGAATAGACTGGAGTCATCTGAGAACCATACTGGAAGTTCCAGATACCAAGAAGTTGCAGGCGTCGATGCACGAGAAAAGAAAATTAACCAATTGTTCTGCGTAAGCGGACGAGAGGATGAGACATAACCGCACAATGTTCCGTAAATGAAAAAATCCACCTTGACGATTTTATTGATGTGCAGATCCAAAGACCAAAGTTGTAACAATCGATCATCAGACTGAAGGGACCGGCCTTTACCAGCTGATGGTGAGACCCAATGAGCATAACCTCTGTTTAATTCCCAATCAGCTGCTGGAAGTTGTGCTGCATCCAAGCTTGAATAAGTGAAAGCGGTAATGAGATAGCGGAGGGAATCCATAACATTCGATACGCAGTGTATGTAAATTTGAGTGTCATCAGAATAAAAGTGAAAATTGAGGAAGGGTGGTACCTAACGGGATCATGTAGATACAGAAAAGTTGACCCAGGGAAGAGCCCTGGGGGACACTGAAATAAACGGTGCTGGTTGCAGACTTAAGAGCCACCCAGTCTAATCAATTGCTTGCGATTCGATAAACAGGATCAAGTCAAGCACAGTGCAGTACCATTAACCCCCATATTATGTTTCAATCATTTAAGCAGATGGTATCAAAAGCAGCACTCAGGTCGAGTAGAACTAGAATGCTGGGTGAGCCAGTGTTGGCGGCAGTCAATAAATACTTTACCACCTTTTCGATTTAAAGCTTTCGTGACTGCAGGGATTCATCTTCTTGGTTCTTTCGGTAAAGTCACATAGAAGGGAAGTAATAAAATAATAAAAATAAAACATAATAAAATAATTCTCACGACGTTTCGGCTACAACGCAAGCAGCCGTCTTCAGGTGAAGAATGAGACACTGCCAAGCTTGGAGATTATATATAAGCTGGGTTGGAGGTGGAAGAAGAGCGCCTTAACAAAAAATGTGCATATCAAGAGGAATTTAGCATATTCATGGGAAATACGTAGGAGGTGGGCGGGGGGGTTTCAAAGTCATATTATGCCCATGCATTATGCAGGATCAGCAGCACCAAAGGGAGGGGGCAGTGGGTAGCATTAACAAAGGGAGGGAATGTTAATAGTATGTAGAAGCAATGAAACATGTCAATGGGAGAGCGATGAAAGGAGACCTGCAGAGGAGCAAATAATGCATTCCCTGTGGAGAACACAAGATACACAGTTAATGCCAGTGAGTGGACTGCGGTCTGAAAGTCACCGTAAACGTGAACAACAATCAGTTAAGATCCGAAATGGTTTATTACGTCCTTCCAATGATTGCTGAGTCAGAATCCATCTTCTCGGTTGAAATTGTCTCTGTGTTTGTATATGTGGATCGCCTCATGAACGAATCTCTCATGGTAGCAAGATGGCTTGCAGAGAACCTCTGTCTTGGAGAAGTCAATGTCATGTGAGCCCACTGAATTGTAACAGGCCGGCCATGTGGCCAGATGACAAGACCAATTTCTAGACCACATCAATTCCATACACCCAGCCATCAGATTCACCATGGAAGTCGAAAAAGATGGCAAGCTACCCTTTTTGGATGTCCTAATTAAAAGGAGACCTGATGGTTCAATGAGCCATTCTGTCTACAGGAAAGCCACCCATACGGATGCCTAACTAAAACCGGATTCCCACCACCATCCATCCCAGAAGAACTCCCTCATCAAGACTCTATACCATAAAGCCCAATGCATCTCCGACCAGGAACACATTGCCAGTGAACTCAAACACGTACGCCAAGCTCTTAAGACTACACAATCCGTAAAGCCATCATTCCAACCATCAAGAAGGATCCTGTTGAGGAGCCTTTCAAAACCATCACCTTACCCTACATTGCTGGGGTCACAAAAAAGATCTCCAAAATCCTGATTAAACACAAAATTCAGGTCCGATTCAACACAGTACATAAAATCCGTGATCTGGTCCCGTCTGTAAAAGACGTGGTTCCAGACATACAGTACCCTGGCGTCTACAAACTAAGTTGCCTCTGTGGTAGCAGTTACATTGGAGAAACCAAACGACATGTCTCGGACCGCATCCGTGAACATAAAGCAGACCTGAAACACGGTAGGACAAACACCTCAGCCGTGGCAGATCACTGTTACAATTCAGTGGGCGCACATGACATTGACTTCTCCAAGACAGAGGTTCTCTGCAAGCCATCTGGCTACCATGAAAGATTCGTTCATGAGGCGATCCACATATACAAACACAAAGACAATTTCAACCGAGAAGATGGATTCTGGCTCAGCAATCATTGGAAGGACGTAATAAACCATTTCGGATCTTAACTGATTGTTGTTCACGTTTACGGTGACTTTCAGACCGCAGTCCACTCACTGGCATTAACTGTGTATCTTGTGTTCTCCACAGGGAATGCATTATTTGCTCCGCTGCGGGTCTCCCACCACCACTCTCCCATTGACATGTTTCATTGCTTCTACATACTATTAACATTCCCTCCCTTTGTTAATGCTACCCCCTGCCCCCTCCCTTTGGTGCTGCTGATCCTGCATAATGCATGAGCATAATATGACTTTGAAACCCCCCCGCCCACCTCCTACGCATTTCCCATGAATATGCTAAATTCCTCTTGATATGCACATTCTTTTGTTAAGGCGCTCTTCTTCCACCTCCAACCCAGCTTATATATAAGCTCCAAGCTTGGCAGTGTCTCATTCTTCACCTGAAGACGGCTGCTTGCGTTGTAGCCGAAACGTCGTGAGAATTATTTCATTATGTTTTATTTTTATTATTTTATTACTTCCCTTCTACGTGACTTTACCGAAAGAACCAAGAAGATACTTTACCACCCTCACCAAATGCCGTCTCAGTCCTGTATCCAGGCCGAAAACTATATTGGAAAGATTCGAGGTCATTAGAAAGCACATGCTTTTGGAGCCAAGAGGCATCCACACACTTGAGAACCTTGTAAAGAAAGGGCATATTGGAGATAGGGCGATAGTTTAGGTACTTCAGAATCAAGGGTAGTGCTCTGACAAGAGAGCAGCAAAATGGTTGGTGGCTATGTTAAAGAAGAAGACTGCATTTAATGGCGGATGGCTTTAATTTTGCTGAGGTAAAACTCGAGGAATGGATTATATGTTTTGGTGGAGGCAAGGAAATGTGTTTGTGGAGGGGGTTTTAACATCTGTGATTTGGTACAAAAAAGTAGCGGAGGTTTGTTGGAGTTATCAGCGACGAGTTTAGAAAAATTATCCGATTTAGCTCAAGCCAGGGGCATCTTGGTCGAGATGTTGCAGCTCTTAAAAAAAACGTGTTGATGAACCATGAGGACTAATCTTCTCCAAGGTTGCTCAGCTTTACTATCGTCTCGATTGAGCGCAGTTCATTGTTATACCAGGGAAATGGCCGGATGGCCGAAATCCTCCTTGTTTGAAGGGGGACCAACAAATCCAGAATATTACCAAGCATTAAATTGCACAACTGCTTGAGATCATCCATTGTAGCTGATATATTGTTGTAGCTGCTAACGCTGGTGGTGCTTGCCAGGATGGCCAGGCGTGCAAAGGCTGCTATAAAAGTTACTGATTAAAATAATGCATTTAAATCCGTTTGTTGAGATATTAAAAAATAAAAAGAAGAAATAAAAGGGTTTGAATTACAGATTGTTTTTATGCTCGTGTAGTGGCGTAACGTGCAGGGTTAGCAATAGGGTGATGTGAGGTGACACTGGAGCAGTGTGGCAGCAATTAGGGGGCGCAGCATTGATGGAGATAGTGCAACTGAGGTCGCGCAGGTGCAAGCGTGGAGACATGGATTAGGCGCTGAAGAAGTGGCAGCAATTAGGGGGAGAAGCATTGATTGAGCGGGTGCATTTGGGGATGAGCAGGTGTGAGCCTTGGGGCACAGGGTAGACGCTGGAGAGGCGGGAGATGGAGACGATAAGAGAGAGCGCGTGCCGGAGGCGCCGTGGAGGCGCCAGCTTAATGGGGGGTATGTGGGGACCCCAAATGAGGAGGGATATATCAGGGAGTGTGCGGAGCAACACGGTGAGTTGGTTGGTTGGTGCCCAAGGGATGAAGAACACAACAGTCGGGGAGAAGACGCCTGGGACCTCGCCCTCCTCACCTCCCCAGCAGTGTTGGCTGATCCCCTGCTGGGGGCAGGGACGAGGGCAGAGGTGTGAGGGAAGCAGGACAGGATAGCAGAGTATAGAGTGAGAGAGCGGGGGAGACAGAGTGGTTACCGCGCACGAGGTGTGCGGAGATGAGTAGGGGGAAGTCAGGGGGTTCGGAACAAGGGTGTGTGTGTTAGTGTAGGTGAGAAGCATCCATATTGGATGCAAGGTAAATAAAGTGACACGTCCGTGTGAGTACAACACTACACTCGTACTACGCAAACAACAGTAAAACCAATAAATTAAGTTAAACACACTGGAGCTACAGTAAAACGTGCTTGTGCCCCCAGGTGGTGTCTGTAGAAGCAATGTAAAACACATGCTAAAGCATGTGATTTGAATAAGAGAAAAAACTCACTTATTTTCTAAATTGCTACCCTTCACCAGTTACCATACACAACAAAGTCACGACTTATCCAGTAACCAATTAAGTGCCCATCTGCTCACTAACAGAAAGTCTAGAGAAAGATGTCTGCACGTGACTTAATTACAAATCGTCAGTAGGAGTGTTAGGTGGGCATCGTTACCGGTCTGATTTCTCTTGTAACTCCTTCAACACCCCTGACTGTGGAGAAGATGGTTTCTGTTCGTAAAGAATTCTTAGTGTCTTCAATCTTGCTTGCAGAGCAAACACCTGCGCATCTTTACAACAAAACATGAAGGGAACTAATGTGCTGTGCACATAACATGAGCAGGCTGTCATTCAGTTCAGTCACTTGAAGCAATAATATACTGCAGTGCTAAATGACACGTTCCTATCTTGGGTTTGACCTTAATTTATAATCTCCAAAACGTCAAATGGGCAGCAAGAAACAGCAACGACTAAATGGGCGTCACATTCTCATAATTACAAATGTATGAGATTGTGTATACTTTGCCAATGAGAAAGTCCTGTTAGTTGCAAACATTAATCTGAACATAGCTTTAACATCCACAATATAATTTTTGTTGGTTATATCACTTAAATATAAATGTGTCGTTAAACCCTCCACCACTCGACATAGCTTTAACAAATACAACAATGGGACCTCATTAAGGCATCAGATCATCAGAAAGGTGACAAACGAGAGGGGGTCGTTCAGTCCACATCGCTCATTTGGGAAGAAAACCACACAAGTCAGAAGGCAGCCAGAAATTGATATTTCCAACAATTACCCAAGTTGTGGTCTGCCAGGAGGTGGCAATGTTGCCAAATATAATCCCAATTGAGAAATTTGAGGGTAATATTAAGGTAACTACAACTGCAGTATTAACCTGGCAGCCAATGAACCTCTGGAACAAGCGATGAATGTGCTATGGCTAGGATATGTCACTGCCAATGTTAGAAAGCAGACAGTCAGGTGGGGTCTGAAGAGTTAATATACGTATATATGGAGGGATATATTTCATCACCATATTTATTTTTGTTCACAGAAACTTGTTTTAGATAGGGAAGCCACCACAAAAAGTCTCCAAACTGCTTTAGAAGTGTCCAGGCCAAGTTTTGACAGGAGAGTAACGATTGCTACATATTTCCCAATTAAGTGATTCGGAATATTTCAAATGTGGCAAATTTGGACCGTGACCCCAGCACACTAAATAATTGTGATGAATAACTTCAAATCTAAACACATGAATGTTCAGACAAACTCTGCTTCAGGTTGTTGTCCTTCCTCTGCACCTCCGATGAGCACAGTTGGCTACTACGTACTGTGCAAAAGAAGTTCAACATACGCACATATATTCAAAGAAAGATACCTCTGTCAGTCACCAGCTGCTGGTGCGCTGAGAGCTCAGCCTCCAGCTGCTCACAGGCTTTCCTCTCTCTCCACACCTGCTCCTGCAGCTTCAGCACCTGCTGGACTTGGCTCTTTTTGAAGAAATCCTGCAATGGTGTGGCAGGCCTGCCAGAAATCAAAGCACATGCCATCTTCACACCAGCTTATTTAATACCTCCATACAATTTAAATGCATAAAACATCGACATGCAGCTACTTAACTGCACATATTCTCACAAAATAATCATTAGCACTGTTGTGGAGAATATACTGTAAATCTTGACTTAAAGCCTTCGTGACTGCAAGGATTCATATTCTTAGGTTTTTTCGGTAAAGTCATGTAGGTAAAAAATAATTTTTTTTATAAAAATTTATAAAAGTAAAATAAAAATCACGACGTTTCGGAGGCAACACAAGCTTCCGTCTTCAGGTGGAACCGTCACAACACGCTTGCTGTATCAAGTAAAAGAGAAATTCCAAGAGACCCGGCCTTGTATATATACTGGTTGAGGGGGGAGGAGCCAGGGTAGGCCCCTGGATAGGAGTTTTTTATTATAAGGTTGGTGCGGCTGAGGCTGCTGCTAGTCTACATAACAAAAGACTGAGCCTTTGTTATGTAGACTGGTTGAGAGGGGGAGGTGCCAGAGTTGTTAAGGTGCGGCTACTGCTAATGGGACTGAGCCTTTGTTATGTAGATGGTAGAAGCAAAAAAGCAGGTCAGGAAGAAACAGCCTCTTGCTATGTTGCTGGGTAGGTAAAACTTAAAGCAGGAAACCAGCGTGTGAAAAGAAGCTAAACATGATAAAACAAGACTGGCTGTCTATCAGTAAACTGTACGGTAACTAAAGAATAGTTGCCTGTCAAATAAGATGGCTCATGGCATTTCTGACCAACACCACCTGGCCAGTGAATTAAAACATTGTACATCAGGCCCTCAGGATGAACGGATACTCTTACCGCACCATCCGCCAAGCTGTTTCTCCCACCATACAGAAACAGCCACTTGAAACTCCGATCAAAACTATCACGTTGCCATACATAGCAGGCGTGACCAAAAAGATCTCCTAAATTCTAAACAAACATAAGATCCAAGTCCGATTCAGTACAGTACATAAAATCCGTGATCTAATTCCATCTGTGAAAGATGTCATTCCTGACTTACAATACCCTGGAGTCTACAGAGTTGCAGCTGTGGTGATTGTTATATTGGAGAAATGAAACATCATATCTCTGATCGTGTCCACGAGCACAATTCAGATCTGAAACACAGCAAAATTGAGTCTTCCGCCGTTGCCGATCATTGCTACAATGCTGTGGGCTCTCATAAGATTGTCTTTTCTGAGACCAAGGAACTCTGAAAACCTCCTGGCTACCACCAAAGGTTTGTACACGAAGCCATCCAGATATACAAACACAGACATAATTTCAACCGTGATGATGGGTACAAACTGAGTAATCATTGGAAAGATTTATTAACCATGCAAAAAAAATTTAACTACACATATTCAGACCATCTTATTTGACAGGCAACTATTCTTTAGTTACCGTACAGTTTACTGATAGACAGCCAGTCTTGTTTTTATCATGTTTAGCGTCTTTTCACACGCTGGTTTTCTGCTTTAAGTTTTACCCACCCAGCAACATAGCAAGAGGTTGTTTCTTCCTGACCTGCTTTTTTGCTTCTACCATCTACATAACAATGGCTCAGTCCCATTAGCAGTAGCCGCACCTTAACAACTCTGGCACCTCCCCCTCTCAACCAGTCTGAGCCTTTGTTATGTATGTAATAAAGGTCGTTGAAGCGACTTCTGGAATCCGGTTTTTATTCGTCTTTCATTACAACACTCCTTCAAGCTGCTGACAGACAGCGTGAGAGGGATAGAAAGAGAGAAACACGCGCAGCCACGTGGCAAGCTGGACCCCCGCTCTCGCGTGGCCTCTTCCCTTCGTTCGTTCCAGTTCTGCCGTGTTGTTCATCTCCACCCCTATTTAATACCCGGGTCACGTGGTACGTTTCCACCAATCCTGGTTAGCCTCTATGGAATCTTCCAGACTCCACCGTAGGCTCCTGGGACCACGCCCCTGACTCGTCTCCCCATTGGCTGTGGCTAAAGCCAGCAGAACCAATCCTCTACTTACAGCTGTCACCTTTCCATTACGTCAGGGCCACGCCCCTAGGCTTCCCCCCATTGCCTATGGACCAGGACCGGCAGAGCCAATCATCGTGACGAGTTGTGATCCATCAACGACCCGGATATATCCTCACATTACATGTAGACTAGCAGCAGCCTCAGCCACACCAACCTTATCATAATAAAAAAACTCCTATCCAGGGGCCTACCCTGGCTTCTCCCCCCTCAACCAGTATATATACAAGGCCGGGTCTCTTGGAATTTCTCTTTTACTTGATACAGCGTGCTGTGACGGTTCCACCTGAAGACGGAAGCTTGTGTTGCCTCCGAAACGTCGTGATTTTTATTTTTTACCTACGTGACTTTACCGAAAAAACCTAAGAGTATATCGCCTTCCTAAAATGTGTGCTCTTCCTAATATTTTGTTTAGCAAACTTTTACGTTCATAAAAACTATATTGTGTGCTTTGTTCTAACTCTTAAATGACCTGTTTTAAATGTAACATATTTTAATTCATAATTAGACTTTGAATTTTTTTAGAAAAGAGTGTGCTTTTTCAATTAAAATAATTCACCCGGATTCATGCCTTGAGATGGACATATTGTTTGCGTGTCCAGATTCGATATATTTGATTGAATGTGGGCTTTGTTAAAAGGGAATTTCTGTTAATTACAAACTCATACTTACGAAGTTTTGGAGGGTGCGTGCTGCAGCATATGTCTGGTTTTGTTTCGCAAGGGAGTGACAGTAGCATATGTGTCCTCTGCCTCCTGAAACGACTCCATCAGTCCCATTGCTGGTGCTGACAATGGACAGTCACATTCATAAATAACGTCAACTGCACTTTAAATGTCACAATGCAAGATAACAAGTAAAAATAATGTGTTTTTAGTCACTACGCCCCACACCCACTGGAACTCCCTACCCAAGCAACTCTGCCTGGTTGCCTCGCTCTCTGCTCAAAATATTCCTCTTCAGCCCCATGCCTTCACAACCCCTTCATTTCCTCTGTTCCCTCCTTCCCTTGAAAATTCGTGTTGGATACAACCATATTTGAAAATGTGATTTGTAACTTTGATCCTTACCCATGTATCGATATTTACATTTTAATGTGCAATTTAGAGGGACTGTGTATTGTCTTCGTGTGGTCGGGGAATTGTTTTTGTTGTTGCTTTGCTGCCTTGCCCAAGCTTGCATTTAGTGTTGAAAAATCGGCAGGAATTGATGTACTTACGCAATTTGTTCTTACTGTAGTTCTATTTATGTATTTTTAGTCACTTGCTTACCTTTCCTATACTTTGTATTGCTTGCTGTTGTAACTTTATTACCCACCCCGACTGGTCATCTGTGAAAGAGCTTCATAGCTCATCAGATTTTTTCCAGGATATATATTCTGATTCTGAATAGGTGCCTAAGTGCTTGATTGAGGAATAGTGAGTCTACACAAATTAACTTTCTCAAGCCCTCTCGTCGTGGCTAGCAGACCTTTGGCATATAGCTCCTGAACATATTGATATATGCTGCAATAGTGGCTGAGAGCAGGCCAGTAGCTGGGGGTCCGTGAATAGATGAGCGAGCAAGTGAATCGCTTCCATTTTCTTCTTCCCTAGCTCAGTCACTCCCATGCCCTCGAGTGTTTCTCCTCTGTATTCCTGCACCGAGATGTTCGTGTCTTTATGGGCGTGCACGATCATTGTAAGATGTTGGAATGTTGGAGGTATCTTTATTCAAATATGCACATCCTGTCAAAATCTCCACTTACCTACAGAATGCAGAAGATATTCCAAGTCATCTGCCAAGTTGTTTGAATCCTTGTTATCGACCAGAAACTGCATTATTTCTCTCAACTCATTCTGTATATTACAAAAATAAAATTACCACTCAGAACCTAGAACATGTTTATACAATCACATTGTTACTGTTTCCTGAGGTTGACTCAGTGGTAGAGCAAGTGGCTCGCAATCGGAAGGATGCGAGTCCAAATCCTGATTTGGGGGGTTTACTCTGCCCATCATTCCTCTGGGGTTGATAAAAATGAGTACCACTTTGTGGGAAAATAATCAGTGGTTATCGACTCGCCCCTCACCTTAAGAATGCGGAATTTACGCCACTGGGCCAGACCTCTAAATGGGAGAGGGGCACCATCGCAACGCTCACTGGAACAGGTAACCACTTTTGACTTTTATTGCATTCAAGTACAAGAAGTTGAGGCACATAGCCTTTATGTCAATATACAAGTGTTTGGTAAAAATAATACCATTAAAATATAAATGTAATGAACAACGTAAAACGGTATCAAAGGAGCAGCCCTGAAATTGCGTGTTCAAGGGACTGCTGCGAATAAGGGCCTCCACAAGAGAGAGCTCTAGAGTTATTGGTCTAAGCTTCCACGTTGACCAGATGTACTGGAATGGGTAGCCATAGCCACAATTTACCCCACCACACACGACCTACCAATCGACTGCAGTGCTCCCATTTATACCACTAGGTAGAGAAGCAGTGGGGGTGGTATTTGCAGTGATTTGCCCCATTACTTCAACTGCCGTGCCAAAAGATGTAATAGAATAGGTGAAGTCTGGATGGCATGTCCAGTGTGCTAACCATTACACCACTTTGACAGCTTCCAAAAAACAAAGTGCCTCAGGCAAAAATGTATTTCTCAATGGCGTTTATTGCAGATGGAGAAGATAACTGTTCAGCACCTGTGTGTGGAGTGATAGCGTCTCCATTTTGAGCTGCACCTCGGGATCTGTCATCAAGAAGAACAGGAAGGCCACTGCCAACTGCCAACCACACATGGCATACAGCATGGCATACATGAGGGGGGGGTGTTATAAAACACGTACACACAACCCACACTTGGTTGAACCAGGTAAGAACGAGAGACCAGGAGGTGTCTCAGACTGAGCACACATCTTGTAGTAGGGCATGTAGTGCAGAATATAGAAATCGAAGTAAAAACAACTAAAAATTTGTTAGTTAATGTGTTGACTAAATACTGGCATGAAGCAAGAAACTTTTGGCTTCCGAGCATCAGGCTGAAGTGGATTAAACTATTGTTTTTGCTTCATCATCTATGTTCATCCAAGCAATAACAGTGACACCTTGTGAATATTACTCTGTCTGGCATCGTGAAAGGCCTCTTACCTTAGCCAGCTCCATGTCAGAGGCACTCCGGGTCAGCAGCTCACTCCAATCCACCACCGAACCCATCACAGCCTGCCGCTCTGAAGCCACACAAATGACATCCATATCACACAGGCTTATACACAACTGTCATAGGTGCCTTGTAACATTAGTGGAAGGTGCCTTGCAAATAAATGTAAATTACTATTAATACATGATTGACCAGCTGCATATTTTTCCTGTGTTATTAAACCATCTTGTTAAATCTTAGAATACACTTACACAACATTTACAGATGTTAAAGCTACAGTGCATTCTCTATAAAGTACCAGTGTACACCACTTAATTATTTATGTATTTTTTTACATGTTTTATTGGGTGTAATATGCAAAAATTTATAATTGACGCATAAATTATATATTTAAAATGATTGTGTCATTACATGTGTAGTGGTGATACGCGCTGGGATTAGGGATCGTATGCCAGCGCGTAATGATTGGCTGTGTATGTGGTGACGCGCGCTGACGGTGGAGGATCAGGGGTCAGCGCGGGGTCGTGGGTTACGGGGTACTGATTGGCTGTGGGCCGGTGACGCGCTGAGAGGGAGTGACCGGGTGGCAGCGCGGTGTGATTGGTGGAGTAGTGTTAACACGCGCTGGGGAAAACGGATCGTAGAGAGAGTGCGTCGTGATTGGTTCACTAAGGAGCGATGCTCACGTCGACGTCCGCATCAGCTCCGTCTCTCGTGAGCAGGGGCTATAAAAGGGGATGCACACAGGCGTAAGGGCAGTATGTAACCAGCGAAGAATGAAGACGGGGATGAAGACATAGGGCCCTGCGGTACCTAGTCCCGCTGTCCTAACGGGACCGGGACTCTGTGTAACCCAGAGGCGAGTGTAGTGTGTGTAGCCATAGGCATAGAGTCTACACGAGCCGAATGTATTGTGTGTAGCCAGAGGCATAGGGTCTACACGAGTCAAGTGTATTGTGTGTAGCCAGAGGCATAGGGTCTACACGAGTCAAGTGTATTGTGTGTAGCCAGACGCATAGAGTCTACACGAGTTAAGTGGAGTGTATAGTCCAAAGGATAGAGACCACCCGTTGTATTGTGACACGTCAAGATTTAATAAAAGTGTGTTACCCGTCAAGAAGTTCCTGCCGTCAATTCCAATACTTCACATGTGTAGTGAAGTATATTGGGTTACTACGGCGATTAGCGCCAGCTACTGATAAGAAAGTGGAGCTGCAAGTGTTAGAGCTTCTCGCTGGCACCAGGGCAGAGGTCGCAAACGGGTTTTGATTCCTTACCCGTACCCGGCTGCACCAGGGTCGCAAACGGGTACCCGTACCCTACCCGATACCCGTACCCGGCCGGGTATCGGGTAGGGTACGGGTACCCGATTGCGACCTCTGGGATGAAGCCATGTTGCAGGCGCGGGTGGGTTGATTCTAGGAACTTGAATTGTGAGAAGAGACAAGACGTTGGGAAATGAGTGACAAACGGTTACTCACCAGTGACTCACGGCCTACCCGTACCCGGCCGCACCAGGGTTGCCAACGGGTACCCGTATCCGGCCGGGTACGGGTAGCCGGGTATCGGGTAGGGTACGGGTATCGGGTACCCGATTGCGACCTTTGCACCAGGGTATGTTACGGCATGGAAAGGGGGCCCTTGGGGGCATAGTTCTGGTGACCGTTAGAAAGGGGGCAGAGAGGATGTGACAGGTGGTTGAACCCGAGGGGGACAGGTGGTGTGGGCCCAGAACCTTTTGGGAAGATCGAGAAGGAGGCGGAGCTGACGGCAGGGGAGGCCACGCTCAGGGGATAAAATGGGGGCCCTGGGAGCCGTGCTACACCTCTTCGCTCTTCGATCGTCACGTTCAGCCTCGTGGGTCAGGCAATATGTTAACCGACTGACCCGGAAATGTAGCTACCCCGTTGTGGTCCAGTTAATCTGTTGTGGTTTATGTAAGTGCCCTGTTGGGGTCGAGAAATAAACGCGTTGCCTCCAAGTCAAATGTGTGCCTCCGTGGAACCCACTGCACATATGTGCAATGTAGGTGTCAATTTACATCATGGACACCCATGCAAACGAGATGTACCATTTCAAGGGATTTTCCAGATGAAATATTTTCATGAATAAAAATATATGTGACTGAGTTTACATGCTGTACAAGGGGTAACAAACTGTGCCTATCTTCCACTTGTGTAATGTAGCTCTCAGGGAAACCATCTTGTCTTTATGTATATTTTTTGTAAATAAAGTCCACTGACAACTTAACGAGTAACTGCGAGTGACTATATACACTTGGGTAGTTACATAGCTTCTAGTCTCAAGACAACTCGCAGACGATGGAGACGGCCCGTTCCAAAGCGACAACGACGATGGCGATTCCCCACACCAACAGCCACCAGCTCTGGCTCGTGCCGGCTCTCGTGCCGGCTCTCGTGCCGGCTCTCGTGCCGGCTCTCGTGCCTCGCCTGTTCTGGCCACGCCCCTATTCTCGAATTCTCCTCGCCACACCTGCTCTGTCAATCACCGCCCTAATTACACTTCCCCTGCCATTGGATCCCGTGCTCCCCCTCACGTGACCCTGTCAATGTTTGTCTCATCAATTGTCATGTCCATCAGTAGCTATGGTCCCAGGGAACCATACTGTCCCACTATCGCTCTGTACTGACTTTACACTTGCATTGCTATTGTAATGAGAGCGCCATCGCCTAAATTATCAGGGGGGCGTATATTAATTATACAGTCCATGCTTATCCATAGTGGGGTTTACATCTGGGGGAAAGGTGAGAGGTGGTTCCACCAGGGAAGCATCTGGAACGTTCAGGAAGGTTCCAGCAGGGGCGTGGCCAGAGGCGGGGCTTAGTCTCGTGAGGGGGATATAAGCGGGACACAGAGAAACGCAAAGGGTCGGTGCTGAAGACTGAAGAGGAGCCCCACCGCTGCTGCCCCGCCATCTCCATCGACCACGTCCTCCAGCCGCTCAGCCGCTCCCTAGCGCACCGTCAGCCAACGGTGCGTTGGAGAGCGGGTGAGCGCCACGTGGCGCGGGGCAGCGTAGCCACACGAAGAGTAGACATCCGCAAGAGAAAGAGACACGTGGCTGTACCGAGCTTTATTTGAATAAACAACCAAAGTTATTTACCTTGTCGGAGACCACTCATTACACTGTGAATATCTACATTACCACAAATATGATCATATATCACAGCATAGCAAAACACCGATTATCCATCTGTTCTTAAAATGTGACACCAAACACACGTACCAAATAATTTTCCTGCCAAATGCATTGATTTACTTGAATCTATTTGTATGAATATAACATAGAATGACACAGGAAGCATTATCAGCATCGCCACGTAACACAAGTTCAGCTGGTTTAAACGCATCAAAATTACAAAATCCAAGCTCCGGAAGCCACGAATTACAGGAATCTGCGAAGTGCATTAATTCACAGATTACTCCCAATTTTCTACTCTATCCTTAAACCACGTCACACTGCATCGGCAGCAGATTAGCATTATGTATTTCCATTTAAATGAGTTTATAGCATTGGGAATTTTAAATGGGGTTGCCGGCTGTTTTGCAATGTGCTTAAGGGTTTAAACAGTGGAGCTTACAGATAAAATCGCTAAGCTATAGGAGCCATGATATGGGGACCATATCACCAGATTATTGGGAGTTCTGCTCTAAAGCAATAGAGAAGCTCCAATGAGAGAGAAGATACGTGCAGGCTGTGGCACACAGCATCTGAAGTAAGCCGAAGTGGTCAGAACCAAATCCTCACGTACGGCCCAAGATATAATTAACTGCAATTGACATGAGTTTAACTTTATAAATCTTCTAGAGATGAGACATAACACTATATACTATTGACTAAAATTTTCAACCTTAAAGCATTACCTTTAAAGTTAGGAGGGTCTCATTGGCGTTTTTGGCATAAACAATACATGTAACATTGGAATAATATTATAGAGATAGCTTACTTTTCAAAAAGGTAGAGACGAATGTAACTTTCTTTTCGTGAGAGTCCTCCACAGAGCTAACATCTGTGTCATTGTTTCTGTTGAAAAAATAATGGCGATAAAAAAAAAATAATGTGTAAGACAAATATATAATGAAATATAAATCCCCTGCTCAATACCTCTACATGCTGTGTCAGACATGGGGGTAGCTTGAGCATTCTTCACCATGCTGATCAGTATGGGTTATTGAAGGGGCGCTCAGGAACAGTTGAAATACAGTAGTATTCACCGCGAATGTTCAAAGTGGCTGGGATAAGAACTTTGCTTGCTAGTTCAACCCTCTACCAGCAATATAATAAACTTAAACACTCTGACAGACCACTCACCTTGAAATAGAACTATAATGCTAATGAGACAACATTCAACCCAAAAGCATAGATGCAACAAGAGTATACCTACTGCCTCTGTTACAAAGCGTGCATCTTTATAACGTATGAAAATATTGATATACAATTCATATTCTTTGGTTCTTTCGGTAGTCACGTAAATAGAAAATAAATAATTTGAAAAATAAAGTGAATAAAAATAATAAATTAAATAGAAAACAAAAAACCACTAACGTATACTCTTTGGTTTTTTCGGTAAAGTCACGTTACCGAAAGAACCAAAGAGTATGGATTCCTGCAGTCGGGAAAACTTCAAATCTAGATTAAACCACTAACGTAGACTGTAGCCTGGTTCTTAATCGGTGTGAGTGTACTGGCAGTCTATAATGTAGACTGTAGCCCTGTTCTTAACCTCGGTGAGCATACTGGCAGTCTACATTATAGACTGCTGAAAGAACCAAAGAATATGAATTCATGCAGTCACGAAACTTTTAAGTAAAAAAATTATATACAATTTGCTCTTCAGTGACTGGTGCCATGTTTTCATTATTTCTTCTAACAGCAATCCCTCACTTAACACGTGTTCACACAAAGCGTTTTCGCTATTACGCAGATCTTCCATGAGGGAACAATTTTCCCACAACGCAGTTCGTGCCCCATGATAACGCAGTTCGTGCCCCATGATAACGCAGTTCGTGCCCCATGATAACGCAGTTCGTGCCCCATGATAACGCAGTTCGTGCCCCATGATAACGCAGTTCGTGCCCCATGATAACGCAGTTCGTGCCCCATGATAACGCAGTTCGTGCCCCATGATAACGCAGTTCGTGCCCCATGATAACGCAGTTCGTGCCCCATGATAACGCAGTTCGTGCCCCATGATAACGCAGTTCGTGCCCCATGATAACGCAGTTCGTGCCCCATGATAACGCAGTTCGTGCCCCATGATAACGCAGTTCGTGCCCCATGATAACGCAGTTCGTGCCCCATGATAACGCAGTTCGTGCCCCATGATAACGCAGTTCGTGCCCCATGATAACGCAGTTCGTGCCCCATGATAACGCAGTTCCTGAGTGGTCGACGACGAGCTACTTTCTTGAGCTGCGCGGCTGAGCGGTGCAATATAGTACATGGAATGATACAGGAACGCTGCGGTGTACCCTCCGTTATGTGTCCGCCATCGTACTGGGTATGCATACGTCGTAATTCACCAACCTTTATCGTTATATTATTAAGGGGAAAATTATTTCCGCTTTACACGTTTTTAGCTTAACACAGAACTTTTCAGGAACGCATTTACCACTTTAAATGAGGACTAACTGGACTATACAATCAAGGAATGCACTTATGTTTAATCAAAAAATATCTCTTTGTTTGAAAGGTCTTTTCAAATGAGCTCTGTTGCAGCTCATGATTTATGTGCACAGTGTTTCATTTACACATTTCTTCCAAATTAAATACCTTCAATAGACATTTACTCTTCCCAGAATTTCAAGTTATAAAACTGAAGGCTCGCAACAGCCAGTAATTTAATTACTTTGGTGGCATTCAAACACTACTATGTAATACACGAATTTCATCAAACTAAGGCATGCACACACAATAACTAGCTTATCATAAAAGTACTTACATCTTTTCAACAAGACTTAGAAATAATCTGAAGTCTTGCAGCTCTGAGAGCACTTCTGTCCGTGAAACGTCCAGACAGTTTATCTGTGAAACCAAGGTTATACGTCAGCATTTCTAATGAACACATCATAAACACATGGCCGATGCAGACACATTCTCCAGAAATGGATGATGAAAGACTTGAGATTGTTAATTCATTGACCAAACCGGTAACCGCAATGTAAATCACCTAAAGAGGTACACTTATCCAATTAACCTAGATCCTTAGGGTGCCACGGTGGCGAAATGTTAATTACCTCGCTTGGTATACAAGAGGTCGTGGGTTCGATCCCGATCATGACGCCTGTTTATTTGGAGTTTGCGTGTCTCTCTCCCAGTGGGCGTGTGGGTTTTCCCTCCGCAGTTGGAATCATGCGTTTAGAGTATTTGGCTGCTATAAACGTCTACATGATAAGCCACTTCGTTGAGCGATCATTTGTGGCAAGATCTCTTCTGGAAAAGAGCTATATATACTGTACATGTCAGTGGGCCTTACCTGGTAAAATAAAAATGGGTTTTAGTCTAGTTTTTACTTTAAAAAACTCAATATTTTATAATTTACTTTTAACACATATGTGTGAATTTAGTAACACATATATGGTATTAAAGGGTTGCTCATATACCATTTTTAAAAAATCTGTACATCAGGAAACATTAATATCTAATTATTATCAGGCCTCATGGTGTAAAGTGCTGTCTCGAACTAAAATCCACCATCTCTTCAGGCCTCTACGTGCTAGATAGAGGGCAGTGTCCAAAACGCTGCCGATTTTATATTTTCATATGAATGCAGTGTTATTGGCGCATGTGGATTTCTTTGTTTGTGCTTGTGCACCACTGCCAAAGCAGTACTGTATCACCAATTGACCTCTAGCAATGTGAAAGACTCAACACAGAAGATCCCGATTTAAAACTTTCGTGACTGCAGGGATTCAACTTCTTGGTTCTTTCGGTAAAGTCACGTAGAAGGGAAATAATTTATGTTTTATTTTTATATAATGAATGTTTAATTTTTATTATTTTATTATTTCCCTTCTACGTGACTTTACCGAAAGAACCAAGACAGAAGATTATTATTTGGTTCTTTCGGTTAAGTCACGTCTAAAGATAAAATAATAAATTAAATTAAATAATAGCATACGACGTTTCGATTGCAACACAAGCAATCATCATCAGGTATAATGAAATAGCGACATAAAATCTAACCATAAAACTATAGACAGACATATTAGCAGACAGATATCACCAAGATACATAGAGAGCAACACAGGAACCAGAGAGGGGTGATCATCTCTGTGGGGTGGCCTTAAATAGACAGAGGGGGGAGGAGGCAGAGAGGGAGGGGGTTAGAGAAAACATTTGCATATCAATGAGTGGACAACAAAACAAGGTGCTAATATGTCTGTCTATAGTTTTCTGGTTAGATTTTATGTCGCTATTTCATTATACCTGATGATGATTGCTTGTGTTGCAATCGAAACGTCGTATGCTATTATTTAATTTAATTTATTATTTTATCTTTAGACGTGACTTAACCGAAAGAACCAAATAATAATTCCTGCAGTCACGAAAGTTATAAAATTAAGACAGAAGATCCCTTTGATCTTCCATGAAGCTCGTGGTCCACCCTAAACCGCATCCGCACAAATCACAGCAGAGGCGGATACCTGATGCACAAATGCAACACAAATAAAAATCCAGTGTACGACTGTGAGCATCCAGAACAGGCCGTACAACATATAACGATTAGATGCCCGATCCACGAATATGGAGACATCACAGCCATGCATTCTGCTGCTCCTGACAGGATTATCTGGCTGCATCTACATCATCAATTAGAAAGAAGAAGACCTCTAGCAATGGAATAAAATAACTCACGTGCAAATTGTGATATTAAACCTCACGGACCACTGTAGCAGAGAATTCCAGCGAATACATACAACACCTTTCGTTAGCGGACTACAAATACAACATCCATAAGACAGGTTTGTTGTGTGAGATCGCACGAATATAAATGTGTCGTTCAACCCGCCACCAACCGACATAGCCAATTAGTGAGGGTTGTCAACTCGTTACTAGTACAGCACACACCGGTGTGTTGCAGAGTAAATCGACAACATTTACAATCGGAATACGACGTTTTGCAAGTATTTACAACTGTGATGCTAGGTGTGCTGTACTCGTCACGAATTAGCACGTTCTATTTACTTGACAAACCTTACTAATTGGCTGTCGGGTGGTGGCGGGTTTAACGACACATTTATATTTACACGATCTAACCCAAACACTTGTATTATGGATATTGGTCGCGAAAGTCGACGTGTTAAACCAAATACAACACGCATCGTTACGTCTATCAGCGCAGTGGCCTTCGAGGCGCGCTGACAGCAGCATTTCTAGAACTCCGAACCGATTTTGTGTGTAAACATATCATTGGGTGTTCCCATATACGTGGCAATCGACGCACTTTCAAACATGAATTTCCATCTCAAGATATTATCCCCTCATCTATCTAAACATTGTAACACGTAATAAGCATCACATTCCACATCCCCAGCGTGAAGAGGGAAGACGCTCACTCACCCAGTCCAGCAGGGCCGAGCACTTCGCCTGCGCCAGCATTGTCAGCGCCGTCGGCGAGGAAACGTGACACGAAAAACACGAGCCTGACGCACCGGGACTGACCCTGACGGCACCGACACTGACCCTGACGACACTGACCCTGACGACACTGACCCTGACCACTGACGGCACTGGGAGCGACTCCGCTGCCCCCGACAGTTGCCGCCGCCGCCTTCTCGCTCTCGAGATTCAAACTGAGCTCGCCCGTTGACCCGGAAGCGCAGGTCTCGCTCTGATTGGCTCCTGATTGACCAATGGCACTCCGCTTCATATCGATTCAGAATCGAGCTCAGTAACAACATAAATTCAAATCGATCTCGGTAGCATCTATCGATTTCCAGTTGAAATAAACGTCACGATTCGGAATCGATTCTGCATCGAGTTCGTGGTCTCTGCGACGTTACGGCTGAGCTCGTCGTGCCGACGCGTGGCACGACTCGAGCAGGTCGCGTGAACACGTCAACGTTGTGTCGTTAAAACCCGCCACCACCCGTCACAGCCAACTCGTGGGGGGTGTAAACAGAACGTGCCAATTCGTCACCAATGCAGCACGGACCGGCGTGTTGGAGAGCCAAGCCACATTTACAATCTGAGTACGACGTTTCGCCAGTAATTACAACTAACTTACTGTTGCGTTCCTTATGTAGAGGCATAGATGTGCTCTTGCACAATATCGGGGAGGGGGATTACTGAGGCAACGTACATGATGCATGTGCATTATGCGAGCCCTTTGAACTTGTCCTTCATGTCTATTGTGTTTATTGTATATGCTATGTTGGGCAGACGGCGAATTATCAACACGAGACTAAAAGAACACCAAAGCAATATTAAATACTCCCAAATACAACTGTCAGCAGTAGCAGAACACGCGTGCCAACAAAGACACTCAATTGATTCTGATAATGCTGAAGTTGTGCAAAACTATCTACTACTGGCCAAGACTAGTTAGAGAATAGATCGAAATTGAGAGATAAAAAATAATTTTAACCGTTCGGATAGCTACAGATAGAGTACCGCTTGGAAGCGAATCATTAAATAATACACGTGTAAAGGAGAGCCGACACAAGCTTGCAAGGGGGTTCGTCGTTTATTCCTTCCTTCAGTGCACACTCGTCCCCAGCCTCCTCAATCTCATTCCCGCCAAGATCCCCTCTCCTCTCTCTTGTATCTCCTTGCTTGTCCCCCCCTTCCCCTGTCACCGGCCCACTCCCCCTCCTTTTGGTGCGAATCCTTCCCCTGACATCCTTTACACATTGTTTAAATGCATGCCTATCCATGTCACCATTCATCTGTAGTGTTGTTCACCAACACGGAGTCACAAACACTCTGGACTGGGAGGCAACACTTTTATTGAACAACTTCCCTAGCGGGTAACACTGAGGTGATGTGCCTAACTATGCGAGTAGCGAGTTAACTCGAGACGGAGACGACGAGACGCGGGACCCAGGCTTGATTCCACAGACGAGCCACGCTCTAACTTAATTTGGAGCTTAATTTATTATTTTATCTTGATACGTGCCTTTACCGAGAGAACCAAAGAGCGAGCCAAGCTCCCGGGACTGCCCCTTGACGCTCCTGGGCGTGGCCTCGCTCCGCCTTCGGCCACGCCCACTTCGAGACCTTTCCCGCAGGATCTCGGCCGAGCGCCGCGCGCCCTCCGGGTTGACTGCGGCCACCACAGGAGACCACGCCCCCTATGGGGCTGGCTGATGACATGCCGTACCCACTCTGGTGCTGGAGAGAGGCTCCGGCTGCACAGCTGCACTCCTGTATAACTGCAGCTGGCGCGAACACCCTAGTGACACCATCACTACACATCAATGGAGATAACCTGTGAGCAGACAATAGATACTGCTATTTTAGTGCACACAAACGACAGGAGGTACCAGAAAAAAGTGCATCCACATTGTTTAACGGATACCAATTGTAATTTATATGCATTCAAAAATCCCCCCCCCCCGACTTCGCACAAGAAGGGGTCACAAGTGACATTACATCTATCCTGTAATTACAATGATGCAGATTGTAATTACTGGCGAAACGTCGTACTCAGATTGTAAATGTTGTGGATTTTTTCTCCAACACACCGGTGTGCTGTACTAGCAATGAATTGAAATGTTCTGTTTATGTGACAACCCTTACTAATTGGCTGTGTTGGGTGGTGGCGGGATTAACGACACATTTATATTTACGCGATCTAACCCAAAAAAACTATTATAGAAATCATTTTTCAGTAAATACTATATTTAAAAATCATGATTAAAATATTTTTCAAAACGGACAATATGATTTTAATGGCTCTTATATTGTACAACATATATCATCGTATCACGGCAACCCTAGTATTTCTGAAGCATATAAATGGGACTGGCATAAGATGGTGTGCAATTGGGAGGACCATGCATATATCCCTGTTCATTTTTAAGAGGGAGTGGAGCAACGAGGGTACAGGGCAAGGAGTGCAAGGATACACATGGGCACAGAGAAGAGACAGGTTATCTTGAACTAGAATAGAGTGGACAGCAAAGGAGGTGAGTTCCAGACTATGCAAGTAACACCAAAGAAGCAACTGTCTATAGAGTAGAGGTCTATCTTACTGGAGCAGAGCACACGAAGGAAAGGAGAGTGAGATTATAGGGTGAAAGGACATGTGGGGGTGAGTCGAAGCAGAACATTAATGATGGTGAGGGTGAACTTGTTTCAAATGCTTTAGTGCACATAAAGCTGGGACACGACGTTTGCATGTTGACAGCTCTGTAAAACAAGACGTTTTCTTTTGATAAGCGCAACAGCAATATGTGGAAAGTACTAGACTTATCGTAAAGACACTGCTAATTTCTTATAACAGAGGAAAGGCCTGTGCTAGCCGCCAGCTTGCAGATAATCACTGACGGGCATTTCTACAAGACAGGGAGCTAAAGACACAGCCACAGTCATATGAATACCTTACAGTACAATCCTGTAAAATACACTTCGATGTCCGCTTTGCTAAATTACATTGTTTTCCCATTATTTATGTTCATAAAATAATGTAGTCATACTTTTTGATGTTTTTGAACGTTTTCTACCAGTTCCCTATTCCTGAAACATGCATGTACCGATACTTGCTGTTTGTAACACGACCTTTGTAGCCATGATTGTAACTAAGATCTGTACTGTACAACATCTGTACCATCTCAGGATGCCCATGAAATAGAGCCTAACAGCTCATTGGGCCCTTCCCGCTAAAACAAAGTATAACATTTTACATGATAACACAAAATATAAAACATGTTTGCATGAGCATTTTTCCAATATTAAAATAAAAAAACCCTCAAGTTTTCTGAATTTCTACACATCAATCACAAATTTACTATTTAGTTGTATTGGATATAGTGGTTTTGTCATCTCTCTCAAGCACGTGTGACCTGTTACCACTCTTCGCAGTCCCTGGCTGCTTCATGCGCCCTAAGGCAACGCACCACTTGCATGAGTCTCACGGTTCAGGTACGTGGCCCAGTACACCAGGTTGAAGATTCCAAAAAGGATGGGAAACACGATGCGGGAGAGCTTGTCAATCTTGCTCACGCTGTTGTAGGTTTTCTTGTAGTCGAGGGGTCTGCTGTCATGTTGTCCGTGGTGCGGCGCGACCTTTTGAGAGATGCTGAGCAGAGCTGCCTCCCTGGCCAGCAGCGTGCGGTGGCCCGCGGGGCACAGGCCTGTGGTATAGGCGTTTTTGCGCTTTTTGATCAAAGTCACCGCGTCCTTTTTCTGCAATGATGCAGCCAAATAACATAAATCATATTAGGTACAGGTATGTGAAGACATGAGCCCTGACTCAAATGATCACTCAGGACAAATCCTAACACCACTCATCAATACCATCCACTGCTCACACATACCTCACTAACACCCCACTTACACCTCACTCCTAAACACACCACCCAACCTTTACACAGCTCACTTACATCCCACCCACCCCTCACATCCACCTCACTAACACCACATGCTCCCCTCTCACGCACACCTCTTACTGTCCACACACCCTCACCCCTGCAGTCCCGTCACTCCTGGTGTCCCTCCTCATGTCACTCCTCGTGTGACTCCCCATGTCCCTCCCCGTGTCCCTCCCTGTGCACCTTCGATGGCGCAGGGAATTTCCCATTCCAGGCCCAGGCTCTCTTGGTGAAGTAGTTGACGGTGGCGAACTCGATGAGCGCTGAGAAGACGAAGGCGTAGCATACGGCGATGAACCAGTCCATTGCCGTCGCGTACGCCACCTTGGGCAGCGAGTTGCGTGCGCTGATGCTGAGCGTCGTCATGGTGAGCACTGTGGTGACGCCTTAGAAGGGCAGAAAAGTGCAAACGCTCAACAAGTCAATCACCTCCAGAAGAGCCTCCACTAGAGGGTAATTGATCCCCTCTTCCACTTTTGGAAGAGGTGAGTGTACCACATTTAACCCCATCACACACGACCTGCCGATTGACTGTGAACCAATTTTTCTGCTCGGTGGACAGAGGTGATGATGGGGGGTTGAATTGTTTCAACTGTCGCACCTGGAGATGGAATCGAACCGGTGTCCTCTGCTTTGCATATCCAGTTTGCTGTGACCATTATACTACGGCAGATCCCAACCTTAGGTAGACACCATATTTGCATGCAAGTTGGCTCTCAGCATAATAACTAATAAATGCATTGAAAACCAATTATGAGTATTTCATTATTTCATTTAGTGTGCTTGAGCCAGCCCTGGGGCTTATCCAATGGATGTGTTACAAATGGTGCCATCTAGATACCACAAAATATGTCTGGAAGTTGTGCCCAGACAAACTTCAGGGTCATTCCCAAATGAGACATGACTCCGTTTTTGTGAGGTTCATCCTAAATTAAATATTAAATTTGGAGGGAAAGCTGATGGCACAGCCGATATAAGACAGTGGCTTGTGTTGTGCATCTCTCTTGGTAAATATGACCACTGACCCAGCAATCCGACTCACTCGAGAGCTTTACTTCTCTACTTTGTGTGCAACTAGGACCCATATCTAACAGAGAAGATTCATGCCTATAAACAATCATAATCAGAATATTTACTTATACTGGAGAAATCCGATGAGCTATAAAGCTCTTCTTCACAGATGTCCAGTAGAGGCAGGTAAGAACGTTACAACAACAAACAGCACAAACACACGAGAGTAGTGCAAAGTACAAGAAAAGTAAAGAAATCACCAAAACGAATACAGGCTATTCACTTGTTTTTTAGAAGTGACCTGGCTACCACAAATGATGGCTAAACAATGTGGCCCATCATTTGGATATTTATAGCACCAAAATAATCTCAGTGCATCTTTCTGAATGTGGAGGGAAAAACTGGAAGAACTGGAGAAACCTCTAGCAGTTCACCAGCATTAGTTCAAGCATGCCTGACTGGTAAGACAAAACTGGTCTAGTTTAAACAATCTGCTGCAAAAAATTATTCTGATGGGATGTCAAAGATACTTTCGTTGTTTACGTGAACGTGACAGATATGAAAAGGAGCGTATTGTCTGACAAGTTGTTTTGTTATCTCTTAGTGTATGGATTCTGGTGGTGCCCAACAAAAAACCCACAATGCCAATCATGAGCCGTCATATCATGTTTATGCATCACACTTGCAGGAGTCCTTTTGTGATAGGCGAGTGTTTTCACATGGTAAATGTATAAATAACCGCAATGTTACAAAATATGTTACGTAATTCGGCTTAATCAATTATATATGACAGCCCTTCATTAATCCACTGCTGGATTAAATCCTCCCCACGCCGTGGCAGTCATGGAAGTTGCTTGACCATACTTCACCACGCTGATCAATGCGGGTTGATGAAGGGAGATGTGCCCAGGACCAGTTCAGATATCACTCACCACTGATATTAGCCGTGGGTGGGATCAAACTTAGGTCGCTGGGTTCACAGCGTGGTGCGTCAACCACTTTGCCATCACTTCACCCCTAAAGTAAGTAATATTATGCAATACATATTTCTGATTTCAACCTTACATCCTTAAAATTGTGCAATATTTGATTCTTTATGATCTAACCCGAATTTTAAACAATGTTTTTAAATCTTGATTTAAATATTATTGTTTTTAACTAAAGCTATAATCCTCTCATCTCTGTCATAGGAATATCGAATTTCTGCCACTGGTCATGGCTGTAAACAGGAGATGAGCACAAATCTCTCATTGTTAATTTCAGCAGGAAATCACTGCGACTTGACATCATGATTGACTACGATCTCCAAAATACAATACAATGCACATTGCATGGCCACCCTGTTTATCACTGTGGGTGTATTAACCGTAAAAAGTATGTGCCGTCTGCTTCAAAGTGGACGTTAAAGGGATGAAATAGGCTAGACCACAAAGCAATCATCGCCCTTACTGGCATCCTAATGCACGTTCGCAGGACAGATGCCTGGGGACAACTGCCACTGAGGGTGCCCATTCAAATTTGTTGATATGTATGGCGCTTATCGCATATAGAGTGCTCTGACCCCAACATAAAGGGCGGTGCTCTGTAAAAATAAATCATTGTTATTATCATCACCATGTGTGTTTTTGCAACGCAGCAGAAGCTATCGATGCCAGCGTCTCCGCTGCTGTATTACCGAACACAGTGCGTGCTGGCACCGCCTCGCGGTTGAGCCAGAAGGAGACCTGGGAAAGGAGCACGGTCATGATGCACGGCAGGTACGTCTGGATCACGAAGTAGCCGATATTTCTGCGCAGGTGGAAGCGGGTGGTCATCACTGTGTACACTCCTGCAGCCACAAGTGCATGTGGGACAAACACAAAGATAACAATACAGACTGATGGGGAAAATGCTGTTAGCGAGCACCAATTAAGGCTGGCATGGCGCACAAGGGGGTGGCGTGGCCAAAACCATGACCAGCCAGTCTCCCGAGTGGCGATATTTACCCACCACACCAGGTACTCGTTTAAGGCTGAGTCCACATATTGCAGGCCCAGGATCGATTCAAATATTTGTCAATGATGTTGGTCATGAGTGAGAATCGAACTCAGGCCACGGGTTTGTAGCACAGTGAACTAACACTTCTCGTAATGAGGGAGCACACATAAGAGAGAGCACAAACAGACACATGTAAAGCAAGAGTGTTGTTTGAAATTCCAGTGCTTGGCAAAAAATTAATGCTTATTCATGTATGTATGTTATTGACTGAGTGTTATATTTTAACAAGCAGCTTCTGTTTTGCTGGATAGAGGGGGTTAAATAGGCATAGCACGGCCTGAAGAAGAGATGGGACTGATGCAGTATTGGCGCTGGCGAATCCCGTACGACTTTTCCCCTGTCGGTAGCAAATCAGGGAGCTAGGGCCCAGCGTGGCTGAAGCAGGAAGGGGAGGCGCAGGGCATCCGCGGGACAGTCTCTGGAGGAGGGCGGTCACTTCACTTCTCCTTTTGCTTCTTCCCTCACAGCGCTCCACTGTGGAATTCCCTCCCATCATCTCTTTTTCCAAGCTCTTTTAATAACTTTGCGCAATTTAAGTAACGCATTCAGTCTTACCTTTTACAGCTCTGATCGTGCTGTTTGTGGCTGGCCGCTTGACATTTGGACCTTTAGGCCTGTGCTCAGCGACTGTGTTTATGAGATAAACGAAGCCCGTGTGGCAGAGGCACAACCGGAGCTCACCGGTGCTGGAGCGGCTGAGCTCGCTGCCCACCGTGTGGTTGATCAGGTTGTACTGGTTGAGTCGAGATCCGTCCTCTGCCACGATCACAGAGTTGGCGGGGCCGTGCGTCCACGTGTAGAACACTTCGGAGCTAGTGTATGCATCTGCACAGATAAAAAAAGATTCTCCGTATAACCTTTAACACACCAGAGACAGCAGCCTTCTTTCGGGCCTAGTCTCACCAGAAAGGAAACAACTTATTCTTATTTTTTCATACTTTGATATTGGCAAAAAGGTCCCATTTTGTAGCTGCTCACCCGAGGTATAAATTCTCTGATAGTGCATTGTCTATGTACTATTCGCCTTTTGGCATTCTCTGTTCTGACACTGGTCTAGGCCCTAAAGAAGGCTGTCTCTGCTGTAGGCCAATCAGTTTCAAAGACTGCATATATTAACAGGTCCCTGCGGGGTGGGCTGGTAGGAACGAACAAATGAATGGCTATAATAAAATGAAATGGCGGGGGTACGATACGAAGGGAGAGTTTGAGGCCTAGTTCTAGGCTTTAGGCCTAGCTGTAGGCTTTAGGCCGCTGTGATTAAATTTTTTATTTAAATGTTTTAATTAAAAACTATCTCAGGGAATTATAAGGGAATGTTACACTTGTTTAGCCAGGAAAGCCTCACTGAGTCTAAAGGTTTTTGTAGGGTCCTGCCAAGTGTTTGCAGTAGGGGGCGATGTTGCTACACCTAATCGGACATCGGACGGACGGACGGACAGACGGACGATATAATCTATTGTAGGCTGGTTCACTTCATTCCTACCAGTATCAGAGCATGTTTGTTTGCATGTTCACGACAAGTACGTGTGGTTAATGCAGACTTGATTCCTTGCAAAAGGTGTCTATTTGGTGTTTGAACATCTTAACACCTGTTTTATTGCCAGAAAGGCTAAAAGTATTCTTATTTTTTCATACGTTGATACTGGCAAAAAGGGCCCATTCTTTAACAGTCTGTTGGGGCAAGCGCTGTTAGCGGCACACAAGGGGAGTGGGAGGTCAGCTCCATGGGCGGCCACCTTAGTCTCGTCCAATGGTGCTCTTTACACACCGCATCAGGTACTGTAAGGCTGAGTCGACCTAGGTGAGGCCCAGGGCCAGTTCAGATATTCGTCACCAATGTTGGCTGTGAGCAGGACTCAACCTCGGGTTACTGGGTTCACAGCGCCGTGTACCAACCACAGCAGTGCAATGGCCACACACATTCGTTTTTCTGCAAACCCGGGCCCCAGTTGGTTTGCTGCATGAACACTACGTCTGTGGTTCACGTAAAGGTTTACTTTCATCGAATTATTTTGCTTGTTTACCCAGGAAGTCTCTCTGAGTCTCAAGATTATTTTTATAGAGGAGCCTGCCAATTTTTTGCAGTAGTGATGTCGTGCGTAATCCCAACTGAGTAATTTGCATGGTACAGTAGTTTTTCAGCATTGGGATGTCGTTTGATCAATACAAGTTATATTGTATAGTGTTTTTAGCTATGGAAGGAAACCAGATAACACAGAAACCCATGCAGAACAGGGGGAGAAGATATAAACTCTGCATTTAAAAGAGCCTGAGATGGGAATTGAACCCAAATATTCTTGTTGTGAGGCACTACGTCATCCTGCCGCCAAAACATATTAAGCATATTTAAAGCATGAGGAGGCAAATTATCTGCATGCTGTTAAAGTGTATGTGTCTCCACATACTCACAGCTCCCAAACTTGAGTGGGCAGGCGTGCGTGTCCATCGGGAAATCCTCCAATATCATCGGGCACTCTGCATTAATAGTCAGCCTAAGAGAACATTAACAGTGGTCTCTTGAGGTATCACCTAGTTAAACAAAATCAACTTGAAGATTGCAGATAATATACATGTTAAAAACCTACGCAAAGACATCACTGATGTGTAGTTTTGGATTCATGGTTATACTACGGGAGAAAAAATACTTTACATGTCAGTTTTCAGGCTTTTCACATTAACATTTGTACAAAACAATGAATGAGGTTGTGATTCCCGTGTGCTGCAACATCATCTAATTGATAGAAATATCAATAGATGTAGGGTGATTATTGTACTCATATGTAAACAGCTAAGGACATTCGTCAAACAATTGCAAGTGGAGTTATCACAAAATCCACATCACAGTGGCTACTGTGCTTAGCTTGCGATGATGCATCATATTTGGTGTCCGCTGGCGAATCTTACGTGTGGCTGAGGTGTGATGCATGAGCGGAGCTGCACAATGCTTACCGCATGGTGTACAGCAGAGATCCGTCATCGCAGATCCTCAGGAGTTTGTTGGGAGTGGTGATGTTGTGTGCCACGGACTTCTTGCTGTTGTAGAAGAATGTGTCTGGAGTCCATAGGTGAGACACCATCATATTGTTCACAGGCAGAATCTTCATGGGCCCGTTGAATTTGAGCCGTAAGTCCCTCCAGCTTTGACGGAAAAACACATCCACCGTGTACTCCTGGACAGATGGGATATTACAGCGCTCACACACAAATACACATTTACGATTAATAGAACAATTATTCTTGTTTTTGACGTAGTATCGCTTAATGCTGGGTCATGTCACAGCACTTTATTCGCGATAAGTGACTTACATAACATTTTATCTCAAACATATGAGGGCACCCTCAGTGGCAGCTTTCTCTGTGGTCACAGGTGATTTTGCAACTGGCCTTCAATCAGGCAATAGTCTGCCTATAGGAGGCCATGATTGCTATGCCTAGTCCATTGAGTCATTTACAGGATTTATTTTATTTGGAAAATCTGGACCAACAACGCCAGCACACAATGGCCTACTTGTTTCGAATGACATTGGGGATCTTCAATGTCCACAGTGAAACACAGACGCCACGTCGTATTTCCGGGTTCATACCCCACCGTAGTAGCTAGCGTGGCCTGCTCGGCTCGAACCGCGAGCCTCTGCAATGAGCGGCGCACGCGTCACCGCTGGGCCACCGCGTCACTGCCCCTCATGGTTATACTCATCTGAAGCCCAACTTTGCAGCCTTCTTTGCTTATGTGTTAAATAATGTTTCATTTAATTTCATTGATTGTGATATAACTATGGCACTGGCAAGTTTGAAATTGTTCTTACAGTATTTTCTGAAGCTATCAACAAAAGGTATGTACCGAATTCATTTCTCCTGTGGCAAATGCTATGTTGGCAATAGGGGAGGAATGATCAGCATGAGACGAAAAGAACACCAAAGAAATAAATACTTATACACACAACTGTCGGCAGTTGCAGAACACACGTGCCACCAAGGACACTCAATTGATTTTTATGTTGAGGTTTTATGCAGAAATAGTTACTACTGGCCAAGACTAATTAGAAAATCTATTTAAATTGAGAAAACTTTTTTTTTACCGTTCTGATAGCTACAGACTTAGTGCTGCTTGGGAGCGTATTATCAATACACTGTTTCATTTCATGCTTATACAGGTCACCATACGTCGATGGAGATTAACTGTGAGCAACCAATAACAGGTACAGGGACTCCTCTACTTACGAACGAGTTAGTTCCAGAGGTCTGTTTGTAAGTCTTTGTGTTCGTAAATTTCAAACATGTACGGCATGTGCATTAAACACGGGCAATGGTTTTAAATATTGTATCATCTCCTGCAGATGTAGATGCCACCACCGCCATCTATTGCACAGTAGATTCGCATATCTGAAAGTGTATAGTCGAATGTTCATAAGTAGAGGAGTCCCTCTACAGTATTGCGATTTTTTTACCCAAAAACGGCGGAATACTTGAACCCCCTCCCCTCTGATCTTCGCACCCGATTGGCTCACAAGTGATGACATCACATTTCTTCCTCTATTTAAGACCGAAACTGGATTTCTTCACAATTCTGGCTGTTGCCTGATGAAGCTGGTTATAATTACTGGTGAAACGTCATACTCGAATTGTAAATGTTGTGGGTTTACTGTCCAACACCCAATGGTGTGCTGAACTAGTCACTAATTTGCATCTTTTGTTTGCGTGAGAAACCTTACTAATTGGCTGCATCAGGTGGTGGCGTTTTTAACGACTCATTTATATTTACCCGATCTAACCCAAAAATACCTTATTTAGGGATAGTATTTTCTGTTTGTGTAAATGCCTCTATTCCTCCAATCCAATTTTCAGAAAGTATCTTCTCGTTGTCACTGTGCATTGCCTCAGTGAGAGCGAATCCCATGGCCTAGCTCCTCGTGATTTGTATTTTGTTACTTTCTATCGAGTGCCTGTCTCTCGGTGTGTTGTGTGAAGTTGAAGTCTATTTTGTTTCACCAGGTGAGACGCCAAGAGACGAGGATGAGACTCACTCGCACACGTGACCTGGGTCACCAAGATGGCACAAGCAGGAATGTAAACACAAGTACAGCAATACAGCAAGATAAATTACAGCGAAAAAATACAAAATTCAGAATAGAAGGAAACAAAGAGAAGAAACAACCACTTTACAGAAAATATATAAAATACTGCACAAATCACTAGTAAAGAGAATGCATTCCCGAGAATGAAGATGGGTCGGATAATCGACTTCTTAAACTCCTCCACCCACGACCCATAGTAATAATACTCCATCACAGTGTTTTTGGGTTAGATCGCATGAATATAAATGTGTTGTTAAACCCGCCATCACCCGACACAGCAAATTAGTAATGTTTGTCATGTAAACAAAACATTTGGCCACTTCGTTACGAGTACGACGTTTCGCCAGTAATTATAACGAGCATCATTAGGCGACAGCCACATTTGATCTAACCAAAAAACCTCTATTATGTGTATTTGTTGCGAAAACCTACGTGAAGTAATAGTGTAATGTATAATAAATACCATGTCAGTATCCGACACGGGCCCAAAGCTTGTGACGTAGATGTCGGTCTTCACCTCAGTGGCTCCTGAGAGAACACAAACACAAGCGTGTTTAACACATCCCATCAGCAACATGGCTTTCTGGTATCTCGTGAGACAATCAGCGTCTCACCCACAGTCGGGCTCGCTTAATCCAGTGCTGTGAACTGCCAGATGTTCGTTGGTTCAAGCAAGCCTGACTGCTGATGAGACACTGCATGTCCACACCAGTCCAAAGTGTGCTTCCATTAAGCCGATGTTACTAAAATTGTGCACTCTCAGAAGACCCTGTGATTTATGGGATATATTTAAAAATATATTTTTTTACGTGGAGGGATAGATAAATAGTTTCTCACATTCTCCATGATGATGCAAATTATTATTGTGTGCAAGCCACTGCTCACTGTGGGAAGAGTTGTGGACACCCGTCTAGGGTACACAGCCCGCAGCCATGCGCACATCGCAGCTCACTCGGGGCCATGGGACAACATCGGTTGCTCAGACGGCAGGATAATAGATCATAAACTTACGAATGTATGTTCATAATCCCAAAAAATAACATTCGGCCAAAAATATGTCACCAGTGTTTGTATAATAGGTCTTTATTTACAAAGAATGATATTGCTATGATGTGTATCATGCATTCCATGCCATCAAATCTAGTTTTGAAATAGAATGCCGAGTTGTCAAGTTAACTGCGGCGAGCAGCTATACGGGCCGTCAGCAACGGCAGCAAATTACCACCACGTTGTCGTCCCGAATGTAACCATCATGTTGACAGCTGCTGTTGTTTTTTATATATATGTTTATTTGGGTTTTGGCACAATTCATATTGGGTTATTTCATTATTTAAGATAATCATGTTCGAATTTTAACCATGTGTGGCAAACTCCAAGTATGACACATGCAATTAAGTTTATGTTTCGCACATTTTATTTGTTCTTTATACTGTTTCATGAAGCCCAAATAAATTGGCCATTTGTACTTTTGGATTTTTCGATTTTAGGATTTCACTTCAGGCTTCTCAACTACAACAGATCCGTGGGGCTGATTTGGAAAATGTCGAGAACTGGTTCCCCACTCGTTTTCACTTACAAATGAGCAGAAAATAGCTCAGCTGTTTTCGGTAAGACGTTGACAAAAACATATTTTGTTCCACCACGTGAATGAAGACGTCGGTCTTAATTGGGTTCCCACCGAGTTATAAGTTAAAGATGCCAACCTGCTCGCACAGTGGGCAATACAAACATTACGAGACGTCTACTCCCTCGAGACGATGGGTCTTAAGTAAACATACAGCCGAGATTAAAAGCGTGACATGCGCACTGCCTGGACACGTGGGTCAGCAGTGGAGTGAGCTTCGGGCCTTGTTGACGCGTCCGGAGGCGGTAAAATAAGTACCACATCATGGGAAAGTCAACAGTGATTGTTCTGTGGATAGACTAACCCTGTTTCAGGAATGTGGAATTTCCACGACTGTCTCAGGGCTATAAATGGAAGATGGGCACCGCCTCCATGCTCATTGCAGCATAAAATCAGACATTGATTTTTCATCATTTATAATTTCCACTTGTAATACCCACAGTATTCACTCACTATTGAAGAGAGAGCGTGACTCAGAGGTACAAGGGACCATAGACAAGCAGGAAGGCAGCCAAACGATGAGCCAGCGCCAAGAATTGCCCAAGCTCTGGGGTTCACTATATGTTAATTGAGTATTGGTCAATTAATACGTGTTTACATGTGGGAGGAAACCGGAGCACCCAGAGAAAACTCATGCACGTGGGGGAGAAACACTCTATCAGATGGAAGAGTTGGGAGTCCACGGGATGGCACTACCACTTGACTAGCCTCAACCAGAAGCACCTGGGTTCGATTTCCGACTCGGGTGCCTTTCTGTGTGCAGTTTGTATGCTCTCCACCTGTTCTGCATGGGTTTCCTCTGGGGTTTCCGGTTTCTTCACATTATAAAAACAAATGCAATCTAACTGATATTGTTTAAAAACATTAGAATGCTGAAAAGTTACACCCCCCCCCCCAAAAATTTCTAAGTTGGATGTGTGCATAACATGGCTCTCTATGGCAAAAATCTGGCAGGACTCTCATGAAAAAGAACCTTGAGATTCAGTGAGGCTTTGCTGGATAAACAACAACACTAAACATATGTATAGGTATAAGACGAACGCTGGAGACAAGTCGCGCATGTGTGTGTCACTGCGAGGGCTGCACCGCTGAGCCCTGGCCGCAGTCGGTTGTCGTATCCATCAAGGAGGCGATCCAGGATCTGCGTGAACACGGCGGTGTCATCCTGATCGGCGCCCTGCGCGGGCGGGAAGCTCAGCTGACCTGGGCTGAGGTGCGCCATGGGACACACGCATCACGTCATGAATCCTTGGGGTCATCGACAACACGTTCTCGGCCAGCAACAGACGGCACGAGTATCAGAGTTTTAATCTGTAAGAGTGTAACGCGTTTCTTGAATTGAGAAAGGGTATTGTGTTATAAGCTTTTTGTAAAAGAGGTTATGATGGGATTTTCCTCCCCATGCATGCGTTTGTTCACCCTCTGTTGTGTTCGTGTTGCGGGTTCAATAAAGACATTAAAGAGGGGATGGGAGGCATTCCAAAGTGAGGTGACTTGCAGTATGGTGAGTGGGTGAGTTAGTGGGCACAATGAGTGAGTTGTGTCCTGCAGTGTGGTGATTGAACAGTGTAGATGAGACGAAACAGTCTATTAGACCGAGTCCTCAGCATGGGTGGCAGAATCAACGAGCGATGCTGATGGCTTCACCGAGGTAATAACGATAGAAGAATGATCAGGAGGTGACTGTGTACGTCCAGTGCCGGATTATCCTAGTAGCACAAGTAGCTACATATGTAGTAGCTACACATGTGTAGTAGCTACACATGTGTAGCAGCTACGGGCGCCGCACTTTCAAGAGCCCCACGCTCAATACTTTCAAGCTATCAATTCCAGTTCAGTGAGTCTGCACTTGCTCTATTACTATAGTACTACACTGCCTTCAACTGTTATGAACGACTGGGTGTTTAAGGTTAGCGATTTATCGTATTATCCGGCTGTATAGCAAATAAAAAACAATTACTTTACTATGCAAGTTAAAATGTAGTGTTTTAATACTTTATTTTTTATATTTAGGGCCCCTTGATAAGATATGCTCCAGGCCCCGCACGAGCTTAATCCGACAGTGTGTACGCCGCGAGTTTGTCCTGCGGCTTGCTGGGTACGCGTGTTTGTGGCAGTGGACACGTGAGAGACGGAAGGGACGGGGGGTCTCGTACCAGCAGCTGGCCTGCTGCAGGCAGCAGAGGCTGAGGCAGAGAACCCGCGCAGCCAACGCGCCAGGGCAGTGCGATGCGTGGCGCTTCAGCCTCATCCCGGCCACGCGCCGCTGCCGAGAGCGCACAGGGGCACACGCGTGGAAGGCGCTGGGCGCCACACGGACACCAGGCGAAGACAACACACGGGCCGCCTTCGTGCTCGACCCCTCGCCTTGTCTTACCTCCCTTCTCACCCGCTCCTCTCCTCACATCCCTCCTGCTCCCCTCGCCTTCTCCCGCGCAAGAGATCCCCACAGAGGCTGAAGCCACCTGTGCCGTGACTTTACCTCGCCGGCTGGTGCTGCGCAAAGCATCGCGCGTGTCCGCGTGGCGCTGGCTCCGACTGCGGCATCGGCGCGTCCTTCGATTGCGCAACGCTCGAATCACACCGCGACCACGACGCAACCAGCCCCGCCCGGGCGACGAATCCAGATGCTTCTGAATTCCCGCGACAGCGACGCGGAGCGCGCACGGGAGACCCGCAAAGGCGTTCATTGGAGACTCTCGCTGCGTCTCCGTGAATAGCGGCGATCTGCAGCTCACTCACTCGCTCGCTGCCTCGACCTCCCCGCGTCCCGTCTCGCGTCTCCCGTCTGGAGTGGCCCCGCCAGGGACCGCTCCGCCGTCCGCCGCTTCGTTGCGCGAGAGAAACACAATCAGACGCTGAGGGGCGGACCCCGCGAACTGAAGCTGGGGGAACACAGCGGGGGGGGCGAGGCGACAGCGGCCACACGCAGCACCCCCCACTCACCCCCCCCCTCACCCCACACTCACCCCTCCCACCCCTCCCACCCCCCCACTCACCCCCACTCACCCCCCACACTCACCCCCCACTCACCCCCCACACACACCCCCCACTCACCCCCCCCACTCACCCCCAAACTCACCCCCCACTCAACCCCCACTCCCCCCCACTCACACCCCCCACTCACCCCCCACTCACCCTCCCTCACCCCCCACTCGCTACCACTCATCCTCCACCCCCCCCCACTAACCTCCCCACTAACCCCCCCCCCCACTCACCCCCCCACTCACCACCACTCACCCCCCCCACTCACCCCCCGCATACACCACTCACCCCCCACTCACCCCCCCACTCACCCCCCGCATACACCACTCACCCCCCACTCACCCCCCCCCACTCACCCCCCACTCACCCCCCCACTCACCCCCCCCCACTCACCCCCCGCATACACACCCCCCCACTCCTCACCCCCCACTCACCCCCCGCCACTCACTCCGCTCCCACCCACCCCCCACAGCCACCACACCCCTTCTCTCCCACTCACCCCCCCCCCCACTCACCCTCCCACTCACACCCCACTCACCCCCCCACTCACCCCCCGCATACACCACTCACCCCCCACTCACCCCCCCCACTCACCCCCCCCCACTCACCCCCCGCATACACCACTCACCCCCCACTCACCCCCCCCCCCCACTCACCCCCCCCCACTCACCCCCCACTCACCCCCCCCCACTCACCCCCCCCCCACTCACCCCCCCGCATACACACCCCCCCACTCCTCACCCCCCACTCACCCCCCGCCACTCACTCCGCTCCCACCCACCCCCCACAGCCACCACACCCCTTCTCTCCCACTCACCCCCCCCCCCACTCACCCTCCCACTCACACCCCACTCACCCCCCCACTCACCCCCCGCATACACCACTCACCCCCCACTCACCCCACTCACCCCCCCCACTCACCCCCCGCATACACCACTCACCCCCCACTCACCCCCCCCCCCCCACTCACCCCCCCCCACTCACCCCCCACTCACCCCCCCCACTCACCCCCCCCCCACTCACCCCCCCGCATACACACCCCCCCACTCCTCACCCCCCACTCACCCCCCGCCACTCACTCCGCTCCCACCCACCCCCCACAGCCACCACCCCCCTTCTCTCCCACTCAGGCCCGAGTCGCTCCGCATGCCCGACACGTCTCGCCTCCGCCTCACTGCCCTGCCGAGGCGAGGGCGCGCGGGCTCCGTGTCCCCGTGCCCCACCCGTGCCGAGCCGGCGACCACTGCAGGCTCATCGTGCCCAGAGGCTCCTGCTGCTGCTGCCGGTGGTGATCGCCATAGACGGGCGCGAGTCTCAGTGCTGAAGCAGCTAATTACCCCCCCCCCCCCTCGTAGCCTCGCATGACCCCCTCTCGCCATTGCTGCGCACGCACAAAGATCCCCAATATCGCCTTCGACTGCTCGGGCAAGTGCTGAGGCACGGCACACGAGGGGGTGAGAGGCCGCCTTTGTCTCTCCAGTGGCGATGTTTACGCCGCACTAGGTACTGATTTGAGGCTGAGTCGACCTAGGGGAGGCCCTGGACCAGTTCAGATATTCGCCACTGATGTTGACCATAAGCAAGACTCGAAATCGGGTCACCAGGTTCGTAGCGTGGCGCGCTAACTGCGACACTTATCGCTCCCCAAAGACAAGAACAGGCACAACAACAACAACCGCCATTCGCCACTCAGTGGCGGTGACGTCACCACGACGCTTGTGCCAGGCCATGTGCACCTTGAGGCCACGTGAAGTGTCGAACGCCCGCTGGCAGGAGGTCACGGGGCAGACCCAGGTGCCACGGGTCGACTGACCGAGATGACCGAGATGACTGGCTAATGCACCACCTGTGCCCCCTACTGTGGCAACTTGCTGTGCTTTAGCCACCGGCGCTCCGCTCGTTGTTGTGAGCGTCGCTCCTCCGCCCTCCGTTGTCGTTGGAGGGCGACTGCCTCCAACTGCCCAGTAGCGTCCTTCACGAGCCTCCTCCACTGAGGCCGATCTTGACACCGCTGGTACCGGTCATCGGCAAGTCCACTCAGCTCCACGTCCTCCTGTACCACATCACTCCATCTCCTCTCTAGCCCGTGCCGCGCCCGTTTAGCCCCCTCGATCCGGCCGAACAAAAGCTGTTTAGGCATGCGGTGGCTGGGCATGCGGGCTACATGACCCAGCCAACGCAGCCTTGCCTGCCGGAGGAGCTCACCGATGAGACTTTGTCCAGGCACAAACACGTACGGACGCACACATAAACACCAAGGTGCAACACCAAGATAAAGCTCCACAGATGATTGGTTGTGTCGAAGGCTCTATTGCACGTGTAGACTGCAGGCTGGACTGTCGGTGGTCTCAGCATCAACACCAACCATATCGGCATTCGGATCCAAAAATGACGTGTCGAGAGCCGAGTATCATCACCACGCTTGTGTGTGAGGGAGTTGTTCGATTCCCGCTCACGACAAACATCGGTGACACGCGGAGCACCGGGCGGCTAAAAAGCAGCGATGTGCCACAGTGGGGAGCACAGATGGTGCATCTGCCAGTCATTCTCAGTCAACCGATGGCATCTGAGTCTGTACCGTGACAGCCTGCCAGCGAGCCTTCTACACTTCATGCGGCCTTCGACACATGGTGCACATAGCCTGGCACCTGCGCCGAGGTGACGTTACTGGAACTTAAGAGGCGAACAGCGGCAGTGTGTTACAGAGGAAGCGCGTTCAATGTCTGCATAAACAAGAGAATGCCAGAAAGGTGATGAACGAGAGGTCGTCATTCGATCCAGCAAGCTGTGGTCTGCCAGTAGGGGGCAATGGTGCTGTGTGTCTCGTAATGAGTCATTTGCGGGTAATTCTTGAAATTTGGACCACGACGCCGGCACGCAATGACATGATTTTGTGAAAGATACCCACTGTAAAACAGACGGCGCATGTATTATGGTAAACACTCGTATTAATAACCAGAGCGGCCGTTGGATTCGAACCGTGAACCTGTGCAACAAGCGGGCGAACTCGCTACCGCTGGGCCGTGCCACCGCTCCGAGGGAGCGCGCTGCGTGCGTCGCAGGGAGAACACCGCTCCTCCGCCTGTCACCATCACCAGAATCAGCACCAACAGCAGCAGTAGCAGCAGCAGTAGCACCACGTGCAGCACGAGGGAAGAAGGTTCGGGTTCCCACGGTCGGGGCATGCGGTGCACCGGGGTGCGGCGTAGAGGTGTGGGTTGTGTGGGGTAGTGGGGTGTGTGTAGGAGGGGGGGTGTGTGGGGTAGTGGTGTGTGTGTAGGAGGGGGTAGTGGTGTGTGTGTATAGGAGGGGGGGGGGGGAGTGGTGGGAGTGGGTCGTGTGGGGTAGTGGTGTGTGTGTAGGAGGGGGAGTGTAGGAGGGGGAGGGGTTGTGTGGGAGAGTGGTGTGTGTGTGTAGGGGGGGGGTGGTGTGTGTGGGTTGTGTGGGGTAGTGGTGTGTGTGTAGGAGGGGGGGTGTAGGAGGGGGGTAGTGGTGTGTGTGTAGGAGGGGGTAGTGGTGTGTGTGTAGGAGGGGGGGGAGTGGTGGGTGTGGGTCGTGTGGGGTAGTGGTTTGTGTGTAGGAGGGGGTAGTGGTGTGTGTGTAGGAGGGGGGGGAGTGGTGGGTGTGGGTTGTGTGGGGTAGTGGTGTGTGTGTAGGAGGGGGGGGGTAGGAGGGGGGTAGTGGTGTGTGTGTAAGAGGGGGTAGTGGTGTGTGTAGGAGGGGGGGGAGTGGTGGGTGTGGGTTGTGTGGAGTATGGGGGTGTGCTGCGCGTGGGGGTTGTGAGCGGGGTAAGAGTGTGTGAGATGAATATGTGAGTGTGCAGGATAAAGGAGCGAGGGGTGAGGTTGGGGGATCTTCGCCCCCCGCCCCTCCCATCTCTGTCTGCTGCTTTTGCTGCAGGATCCGCACGAGAAGCGCCGCTGCTACCTCTGCTCCTGCTGCAGGTCACGGAACGTCGACACGGCGCTGCGCAACGCGAGATCGCGCTCGCGTACCGTGAACCTCCATTTTCTCTGCGAGTCGCGCGCCACGGGCTCTCGACGGCGGCCGTGAGATTTTGACGTCGAAGCAGCAGAAGCCTCTGATCGCATCTCTCGCTCTGTAATGCGCCCAAGGACGCACGCCTGACTGCGCCTACACCACGAGGAGCCGGGGAGGAAGAGGCGACCAGGAGGAGCCGTGATGGGGCGAGGAAGCCGCGCGTGGAGCTGCCTGGACGGGCCACTCGCCACGGTTCTACTCGTGGCTGCGTGCGGGACTCTGAGGTGGGAACCGAGGGGACCGAGGGGGGTCAAGTGGGACCAAGGGGATCGAGGGGGTTCAGGGCACGGGCATATGGGGCGTGCTCGAGTCACGGGGACCAAAGGGTCGACCAATGTGTTCACCCCCTTCACCAATGCGCAGATTTGTCGCCACGGATACCGCGACGTGCAGGCACCACGGGAAAGGCGCTGCAGCACCGCCGCTGTCATGCCACGGTGTCCCTACAGCGGAACAATGCACTCGACGTCACGACAGCTATTAGAGGCATTCATATCATTATTATCAATGCTGTTCCATATATCACATCACTAGCATTGTGGCAGTGTATGTAGAGTGTATACAGTCTGTAACCCAGCGATTAGCGTGGATGTTGACGTTGAACAATATCTGATATTTCATTCACGCTCACACTCGTTCATGCAGAATGGCCATTTCCCAAAACGTCGCTCTATGTATAAATGTTGTTTCCTTGTAGAGCCACATTGTGAATTGACGAGTGTGATGAGCGTTCATTAAACAATAGACGAGCTCAGTGGGAGAGTGAGCGGGCTGGGTGGTGTCACATATTGTGTCCTGCGTGAGTTGGTGAAGGTGAAACATCGGACAAACATTGTACTGCCTCTCAGTGTCCGCGAGGACAATGGGAACAGAGATATTAGTCTGT